GTGGAAGGGATGATGCTGCGATGATTGAAACGGTAGTGATGATGGTGACGTTGATGGAGATTACAGTAGCTTCATGCGGCGATGACGCGCCGGCGACGCCGGCGAAAGCGTTCCACGTTGATCTCCACATGGCACGACGACGCGGAAGCACCGAGGGACACTAACGCCACAGGACCCGACGGAATTCAACCTTGAACGATCGGTGCCGCGATTGGATCCAGGTTGAGCGATCGACGCGGTGTCAAAAACCTTTGCGCGTGCCGACGCCGCATGAACCTACCGTATGATGATGACGGAGACGATGACAGTTATGACGACGTCGGAGGGAGCGCGTTTCAAGTTCGCTTGTCTTGCGAGATTCCCAAGGGGGGCCTCCCAATCCAGGACCTCCCCGCGAACAAAAATACAAAGGCCCTCCTCCGACACCCCCCCTCAACCCGCGACCCCCCTGCCCCCTGGCCCCCTTCGCAAGGAAGGGGGAATAATATCCTCCCCACCCTCCCGTGCTCAGGGGGGGGGGGTACGACAACCCCCCTCCCCCCTGGCGCGCCGGAAGCCGACAGCGACGGCCAGCGACGACGAGGCCGCTGATGACGACGACGGCGACGAGACCGCCGACGACGACGACGACGACGACGACGACGACGACGACGACGGCGCCGACGACCATGACAAACACGACGATGTCTACGACGACGCAAATCACGACGACGACCAGCGCGGTCGCCAACGACAGCAACGACGACGACGACGACGGCATAGACGACAACAACGACGACGACGACGGCGAAGTTCGAGAGCATCCGACGACATCAATGGGCGGGATGTCCAGTTGCCACCGAAGGTTTGGGCTAAAGAAACAGTCGCCATCGACAACGACGATGCCGACGACGACAATGAAGCCTCACTCGTTGATTAGGCGAAGTGTTGGGTAATGATATCAGGGCCAGATGTTAAGTCGGATGGTTGGGACATGAAGTTCAACTTTCGCTACTTGATAGTGCAAGATAAGACACCATCGGCAACGACGACGCCGACGACGTCAACGACGATCGTCGTCTTCGTCGTCGTCGTCGTCGTTGCCGTGGTCGTCTTCGGCTGCCCCCTCCGGCGCTGTCGTCGTCGTCGTCGTCGTCGTCGTCGTCCTCGTCGTCGCCGGCCGTCGCTGTCGGCTGCCAGAACACCGGGGGGGTTGTCGTAACCGCCCTGTACACTGTACGAACTCTTTCGCGCTCACAATCTTTCACGAGAATGGAAGGAACTGGCAAGGTCCAACATGGACAGCCACGCTGGTTTTCCCCAAAAGCGTTTGACACCGCATTTCAAGACGCACTCTGAAATTTTCGATATCACAATTTATCCCAGTTCCGTACATCAGCATCAGTGCCAAGTTGTACGCTGGCCGAACAGCCGTTGACGACGGAAACGTTGAGCCGAGAATTCCGTATACATAGCAGGGAGATCAATTGAGCTCATTGTTGTTCAACAGTCTACCCGACATGGTCGTAGCACGAGTGCGGCATTCAGTTGTTATTTATCATACGCGCAGCGCGGGCGACTCACCAACCTCATATTTGTTGACGATGTGTTCCTCATTCGGGGTGCGATGAAATTGATCAAACGGATGATGTCAGACGTGTGGAGTATTGATTTGACGACAGGGCTGGATAATTATCCATGCAAAACGAATCTCATGGACAATCCCGCGACTGGAGACCAAGAACTACTTCAGAGTTCGCGGCCGTTGACGGCATGAAGATAGAAGTGTTGCCACGTGGTGGGGCACAATCATATCTAGGCCGGCAACGGACATTCTGTGACAAAGCAGAGGTAGAGATAGAGTCATGGATCAAGGCTGCTTGGAAACAATTTGGATCACCCACGCACGTGTTATTACCAAGTCGTACTCGCTACATGGTCGGCCGCGCTCATTTCGCGTTGTTTTTGCCGCAGCTGTGTTTCACGTTTACGCATCGTGAACAGTCTTGACATATTTGGGGCGCGCAGTTTGGACGACCCAGCGCCGAACGTTACCTAGAATATTGAATGTGCCACGACTTCGGTACATTGATACGGCGGGCAACGGGCATGCGTTCAATATGGATTGCAGAGACAGCGCTGACACAACACCAGCAGAGATCGTCGGCGACAGCAACACTCATTCAGCATTTTCGTCTTCCGGTTCATCTACGGCTATTAATGCATACCTCAAGCTGTGGCACGAGAGGGCAAACGGAACAACACTGACGGTAAAACACACGTGTCCAAGCTGGCTACGAGGAGTGGGCCATGATACACTGATGACGGAAATGGCGCTGTGCATCTTCATTGGCGCGCAACGAACACGCATGGATTTGGCATTTTGCGGTGTGCGACCCACGCTATTGCGATGCGCGTGCCAGGAGACGGCCACAGCGATCTAGGCTGCGATGGACTAGCGGCGTCTTTTGAGCAACGCGAATGTGGCAGGAGGATGGTGAAGGGAAAGCGCTTGCGTGCGATGGCAGGACGTGGAGCCATACGACAACGATGTCCACTCGCAGGTCCAGCTGGGGCGCCCCGGCGCACCCGCTGTTCCTCCGGTGTCGGCGCCGTTCCGCTCCGCCGCTCCGCTCCCCCCGCGCGCTGGAAAGAAGGAAGGGATCACAAACCAGTTCCCCCTTTTGATCCATTGGTGGGGGAGTCCTAACCTCACGCAGCCCTGCTCAAGCTCACATGAAAAACGTTATTCACCATGCCGGTCACGATGGTCACGGTCACGACTTGGCAACGCTGATGTTGGTAGTGGTTATGCGGTGACGGTGGCGGTGATGTCGATGAGTATGAGGCGGATGAGCAGGCAAAGGCGGGCAGGCTCATTGGAGTGCTGCGCGGCGCTGACCTCCTCAATCCTTGCTCCATCCCTCTTGTGTCGATTTCATGAGCCTCAGCGAACATGTGCTCGATCGATTGCAGATCCAGGTGTGCCTGTCGTGGCGTGCTTCGACGGGGGCAGGGGTGGAACAGGGCGTGGGTGTTGGGTGGGTAATTCTGTTGAATTGGGCGAGGCGGAGGGCGCGTATAATCCCGTTGGATGCAGGAGACATGCGTCTGATGGCCAAAATCAACGGAGGAGGAGGGGTCTTGAAAGTTAGAGGTTTCAATTTAGCCTGCGGTTGTCATTATTCGCTTGCTGTTCGCGGCCTGTCAGCGCCCTCCCTCCCAAGCAGTAAGGTATTGCACTGTTGATATGTGTTGTCAGCTCCATGATGTAAGCTATGAGCGTAGTCGGTGTAGAGCATGCGATACGAAATCAGGCTATGCGCAAATTCGGTGATGCAAGCTATGTGGTGCAAGCTGTGTCGTGCAGGAGTGCAGCTGTGCCGTGCAGGCTGCGTGGCGTAAGCCGTGCGGCGCACGCTCTGCGGTGCAGCGCGTGGCGTAAACTGCGCACGCTGTGTGTCGAGCAAGCTACGTGGTGCCAGTTGAACGTTGGCAGCAGTTCGGTGGTGCCCGCGAGGCGCCACGGGCGCCGCCAGGGGCCTCTCCACCGTACGAAAACAGAGGCGCCAGCGCACGAGGCGCCCACGCGCGCCCGCGGGCTGGCACCGGGCGAGGCCTCGGCCGACCCCTCCGGCACGCGAGGCGCCCACGAGGCGCCGACGAGGCACCCACGGGCGGGCACCCAAAAGGGCGAAGCCCCGGCTGATCCATCAGATTCCGCAGGAAAGCGAGGGAGGAACCCTTGGGTGCAGGCACCTGTTCGGGGGACACCTGTGTGCATACACAGCGAGAGTTCTGAGCGTCCCTTCTTCCTCCTGGCCGTCCCCCCCGCTCTTTTTGCCCGCCGGCCCATTCGCTAGTGAGTACCCCTTCCTAGCTTTTCGCTGTGGCGGAGTTCGCCGCCTCGCCGCTGACGGAAGAAAATGTGTACAGACACAGAACTTTGCACCACCTTATACGACTCTACTGGAGTGCGCCTGGCTGTTCACCGCGAAGCTTTTCCACGTCGGCCTGCTGGCGTGCCACAGAAGCTGGCACCTTGAACAATCTATGCGCAGGACAGGTGGCGATAGCTGTGCAAGGCTATAGGACCAGGATGAATCGTTCCAGAGCCTTCCGAAGCGCTCTCAGAGTGTTCTCGAGCGCTCTGGAACGGCCGCGGCGCGCATCCTCCAGAACCGCTGGATCTCAGAGATCCCCGATTTGTCCTGGTCCGATTCTGTCCCGGTCCTGGCTTCTTCTGAGATATGAAAACGCCCGCGCCATGCTAGGAACGGGCTTCTGAGCTCCTCGGGTTCATTGGGCCCGATGACCACGAGCCTGAGGAGAAGAGAACAAATTAAGAGGTCGATGAAACGGAGGAGGAGGAGGAGGAGTTGGAGGAGGAGGAGGAGGAGGAGGAGGAGCAGGAAGATGGCGGAGAGATTTGACGAAGACGAGGATGCCGATGAGGAAAGCGAGCCCCACCCCCTGAATGCCACCATCAGCGGGGAGGCGTATTGAGTGCGAAGGACATGTTTGATGCCGACGCTGGAGAGATCATCAAAGTCAAGTTGCAGAAGCCTCCGTGCTGCTACCTTCTATGTGCGTTCTTCCTCCCTGGCTCTCTATGTGGCGTACGTCGCGTCTTGAGACAGCCTTCGCACTTCCGCCTTCATGCTGGCACATGAGGGTGTGCGATGAGGCCAAGCGCCGCCTCGCAAAGCTTCCTTCAGGCATCCAGTATGCTGAGTCTCTTTGTTTGGGAAGTGTATCAAAGACACCGAGCGCTATTGCACAGTCATCCCGCATCGTGTACTGCGTATCTCTTTCATTTCAGGGTCGATAGCGTGGGAAGGGTTGTACGTTCTCTCTGCCATCAGTTGCCTTGCTGTTTGAGATGATTTGGCTGTTGATCATACGGGTTTGACTTCCCGTGGCTTGTGCTTCCCTTCTCAGGGCCATCCGCCTTTGAAGTAATGAATATGTTTGTTCTGCCATAGTTTGCGCGGACCGATTCTCATTACCTGTGCCCGGAGGCCTTTGGGCATCGATTTTATTTTGGTCAATCCAGCAGAGGAAGATGCCGGCGTCATGATCGGTGATATTTTGGACGCGGTTGTTCTTGTTGTTGCAGTCTTTCTTCGTGCTATTGCGCCTGTCTCTTTTTCCTGTCTGTCACAAAGCGTTCTTAGTGTATTCATAGTGCTCCGTGTGGTGCAGGCACTGATGCTGCCGACACCTTTGCTGCATTTACGTTTGCCTCCTCGTTCAGTGTCCTATTTGAATTCTGCGGTATTCATTGCCACCATCATCGTGCTCACCCTCACCTGTTCTGGCTGCTCCTGCCGACCTTTGTTACCCAATATGTTTGTGTATGTATGAATGAATGAACGAACGAGTGAATGAATGAATTATTGAATGAGTAAATGAATTAATGTATGTGTGTGTGTATATATATATATATATGCATCTCTCTCTCTCTCTATATATATATATATATCAGAGTACCCGGGGGGAGGGCTCGGAACCACGACACCTGGTTTGCATGGCGGTCCGAAGGGCCTTGAGGGTTCCAAGATGGCCCATAATGGGGCCCTGGACGGATTTTCGTTTTTTCAATCCTGACATCGGCCGCGGCGGCCCCAAAGGCCCCCCAAATCGGCCCCAGACGCCCCGAGAGGCCCCCAAGAGGGATCCTCGTGGAGCCCGGAGGGGCCATCGGAGGATCCCTACATGGCCAGAGAGGACCCCAAGAGGGCTCCAAGACGGGTTCAGCTCCCCATGACGGGCCAAGAGGGACCCGGGACGGCCGAAACGGGCCGCGATGGGTCGAGGTCACAACCGGTCGGGTGAGACCACAACCGGACGGGTGAGATCCCAACCGTCCAAAGTCCCAGGAACGGTCAGATCCCAACCGAGGAGGAAGCTAACAAAGAAAACATATTAACACAGTATCATTGTTGTTTATTGCAATATGAAACCTCACTGGAAACTGCAGAGGAGCGAATGCACGCGTGAGATTTTGCGGTTGGGAACCTGCGCGTCTTCTATTGGATCGTCGTCGTCGTAGTAGTAGTAGTAGTAGTAGTAGTAGTAGTAGTAGTAGTAGTAGTAGTAGCAGTAGCAGTAGCAGTAGCAGTAGTAGTAGTAGTAGTAGTAGTAGTAGTAGTAGTAGTAGTAGTAGTAGTAGTAGTAGTAGTCGTAGTAGTAGTAGTAGTATAGTAGTAGTAGTAGTAGTCATAGTAGTAGTAGTATTAGTAGTTAGTAGTAGTAGTAGTAGTAGTAGTATTAGTAGTAGTAGTAGAGTAGTAGTAGTAGTAGTAGTAGTAGTAGTAGTAGTAGTAGTAGTAGTAGTAGTAGTAGTCGTAGTCGTAGTAGTAGTAGTAGTAAGTAGTAGTAGTAGTAGTAGTAGTAGTAGTAGTAGTAGTCGTAGTCGTAGTCGTAGTAGTAGTAGTCGTAGTAGTCGTAGTCGTAGTCGTAGTCGTAGTCGTAGTCGTAGTCGTAGTCGTAGTCGAAGTAGTAGTAGTAGTCGTCGTTGTCGGCGTCGTCGTCGTCGTCGTCGTCTGCGTCGTCGTCGTCTTCGTCGTGGTCGTCGTCGTCGTCGTCGTCGTCGTAGTAGAAGTAGTAGTAGTAGTAGTAGTAGTAGTAGTAGTAGTAGTAGTAGTAGTAGTAGTACTAGGATGAGTAGTAATAGTAGTAGTAGTAGTAGTAGTAGTAGTAGTAGTAGTAGTAGTAGTAGTAGTAGTAGTAGTAGTAGTAGTAGTAGTAGTCGTAGTAGTAGTAGTAGTAGTTGTTGTAGTAGCAGTAGTAGTAGTAGTAGTAGTAGTAGTAGGAGTAGTAGTAGTAGTAGTAGTAGTAGTAGCAGTAGCAGTAGCAGTAGCAGTAGCAGTAGCAGTAGCAGTAGCAGTAGCAGTAGCAGTAGCAGTAGTAGTACTAGTAGTCCCCCCGGCGGGGGAGGGATCGAAGGGAAGGGGCTCCCTTCGACTCAATTGCGACGTTGCTTAACTTCGCTGTGGTTGGCGCGCTGAGGAGGGCCCTGGGAAAGGGGGGAGCTTCGACGAGCCCAGGGAAACGGGGGAGGCAGGGAATGGAACGACAGAGACGACGACCAACGAATGACGGAGATGACGACTTGAACGGACAAGCCCCTCACACACGCCGACAGGGTCGGCGGATTTATCCATCATCTGTCCCCCATGTTTCTTCTTCCTCTCCCTCATTCTGGCCCTACCTTGCGAATTATCCCCCTTCCCGTTTAGTTTGTTCTTTGTTTGCAGGGGTTCCTCCATGGCGGGCGTTCGGGGGGCGTCGCGACAGCTTGTGAGGGTTTCGTGGGACTTTCTGGAGGCCTCCCGGGCGCCGTCTGGGGGCCTCTGAGGGCTTCTTCTCGCCGCCCTGCTTCCAAACGCGGTCTCCCTGAACGATCGGGTCACGATTCGGATTGTTTCGTGGGGCGTTTTGGGGCCATCTTGGGTCGTCATGGGTTTCTCTTCCATCTTGGAATCCTGTTGTGCCGTCTTGGGGTTCTTTTGGACTGCCTGGAAGCCCATTCGGATACTTTCGGGGCGATGTTCTGGCCTCCTGCGCAGTCGCGGGGGCTTGGGAAACCGAAGAACGCCGCCTTTTCAAAAATACCAAAAATGGGAAATCATTGTTTTTCTGCGTCTCGAATGCCTCTCGGGGGTCTTTGTTGTGTCGTCTTCGGGCGTCTGGTGGGTGTCTGGGGCCTCTTGGGTTCCTCGGGGGGCCGTTCGGCCGCTCTCCTGACCAATTTAGGCCCAGCAAGGGCTTCCAGGAGTTCCTGAAAACTTGGGGGGCCTCCAGCAGGAGCGTCCGAGGGGGGCCCCGGGGCCACCGATCCGCGGGGTCCCGTTTTGGGGGGGGGGGGGCGGTCCCACCTCCCCGGCTGGTAAAATGTAGAAAAGAAATCTGAACATAGATGTGTACGCCCCCCTCTCTCCTTGTCGCTTGCCCTCGCTCTCTCTCGCTCTCTCTATATCTCTGTCTCTCTCTCTCTCTCTCTCTGTTATGTTCTCTCAATTTGTTTATATGTCTCTCCCTCTCTCTCTCTCACACGCCCACTCACGTTCCCCCACTCTCCCTCTCTCTCTCTGTGTTTCTTTGTTTGTCCCTCTCTCTCTTTCTCTCTCTTTTTTTGTTTCTCTCTCTCTCTCTCTCTCTCTTTCTTTCTTCCTTCCTTTCTCTCTCTCTCTCTCCCTCTGTAGCTCTCCCTCTCTTTTTTTTTTTTTCTCTCTCTCTCTCTCTCTCTCTTCTCTCTCGAGCCACATTGGCCACCTCTTGCCAACCTCCTTGCTACGGCGTTTCCCGCGCTTGCAAGTTCCCCGCCGATCCGGACTGGCGAGGAGGCAGGAAGGAGGGGTGATGGGGGAGGGCGGGAGGGCGGAGAGGGAGCAGGGGGAGCAGAGGACGGGAGGGATGGGGGGAGGGAGAGGACGGGGAGGAAGAGGAGGAGGAGGAGGAGGACAACGAGGAGGAGGAGGAGGAGGAGGAGGAGGAGGAGGAGGAGTCTCCCCCTTCCTCCTCCTCCTCCTCCTCCTCCTACTCTTTCCTCTCTCTCTCTCTCACTCTCTCTCTCTCTCTTTCTTTTTTTTGTTTGTTCTTTCTCTCTCTCTCTCTCCCTCTCTGTTCAGTGTCGGCTCGAAGGTCCCTGACCCAAGGCGTAGGCACGACGCGCAACTTTCCGCGCCTTTCAGCCTTGTGAGACTGCAGCCGTGTCATTCGCACGGGACCGATTCGTGTCACATCCCTTGCATTACGCGTATGCGCGCTATGGCCCCGAAAGGTTTTCGCTGTGAGCGTACCAGTCCCCAGCAGCCTAAGCCACGAGGCAGGCTGGAGGCACGGCGAAAAGCCAGTGAGTGGGTCAAAGCGGCTGCCTCCGGCACGGTCCGCCTGCATGCGCCGCACAGCGGGCAACCCCCGCGCGCCATCTGGCACGCGGAAGGCGGCGGGTCAGCAAGCAGGTGGGCCCTCTTTTCCGACTGTGAGTCGCCAGGCTCGCAGGCACAAAGCGGTGATGCATCCAACCTTCTCCCCCCCTGGCCATGCCACGGACAGCAGCGGCGAGGCTGGCGACCGGGACCCCTCCCCTTCCAACAAGCAAAACCAAATCCTTGCAGACGCGAGAGCCGTGTTGAATCTCATGACGCACACAGGGGAACCGATATTGGGGGCGGCGCTGGCATACAGGAGCCCGCTTTGGCGAGGCTGCTTCCACCTGGTAAGCGTTCAAGGCGGAGTGCCACCAGGAACTCCCCAACCCCGCCCCCGCTCCACCCGTCGCCTTGGCTGACGAAACGCGCGTCCATTTCATCGCGCCCGACCTGCCGCTAGAGGGGCCTCCACCAAAGAAGCAAATCGCTGCCTGACGGAGTCCTTCGCCTTTTTGCCAGAGCCCTGAGAGCCATGCAGAAAACGAGGTAAGTGCTTGAGCCGCCCCTTCTCCACATTCCGAATCCTTGCCTTTGGGGAAAGGGGAAGGTGAATTTCACACTGACCAGCGCTTACGCTCAGTCGTGTCTGCATGGATGCATGCGTGGGAAGCGCCAGCCTACCGCAGCTTAGCGCAATGTAGATCTGTCTGGACCCACTCAACAAAATTCGGCGCGGCACCACGCGCTGCCATCGGAGACGTCAGCACCGCGCTGGCAATGTATGTGGAGTATGCCCGACACCTCCAGGCGCCGCCGGCTAGGGCTGCGCTCGACAGGCAAAAGTGCGTCGATCACCTCGCCGCAGACATCCGTCACGACCTGGCGCGCGGGACGCCCGCCATGCATCATTCGAGTCAGAGGATGCGTTTGCGATAACCACTATGCATTCGCATGGGGGGAGCGGCTTCTAGACCCCTCGCACGCGCCAGCGGCCACCTTCAAGGTAACTCCTTCTCCCCCGACGAAGTTTAAGTGCTGATGTGCGTCTGGGCCAAGAGACGGCACGGGCGCGCGCCGTGACCCTTGAGCACAACGTGAGTCGACGACAGGGACTCCGCCGCGCCAGCTTCCAGGGTGCCCCAAACATCCCTCGACAAGGCTGTCCCCTTCAACCGCCTCTCAGCCCCCCCCCGAAATAGATCCCTTGTCAGAGTTGCTGACTGGGCTGTCGGCGAAGACCTCCACCGCCAGGTGGCGGCTCTCCAACTTAACGGACGCCCGCTGCAGGCTCGCCGCCAGGTGGGGCCCGTGGGAATCTGCATCAACGTGGCACTGGTCGCGGACGATGCCAGCCTGAATCTGGCGCCCACCGCGAATGCCGGAATCCGATGTGACATCGCCAGACTGCCGCGTGTAGGACGCCTTCCCGAGGGCACCCGTGCTCGCGCCTGCTCGGCCAGGCCCGTCGCTGCTGGCAGCACGTGGACCGCGGGGGCCGACGCCTGAGCCCCCGGCGCGGGAGCGCGCAACATCCTGCGACAATTCGGCATCCGCCGCCAGCCCCCCGAGGGTCCCACAGTTGGCCTTTACGCTCAGGTTGCCCCCGTGGGCGCACTTGAGCTGGGCGCCGCTGCGCGCGCGGGGGCTCTTCTCGGGCTGCGAAGGCAGGCGCGGGGAGACGCCGGCCCCAACGCTGACGCCGAAGAGCTGCACAGCCGCGCGCGTGCACTCCAGGGAGGTGGCCCTGTTGGCAGAGTCTGGCAGACCATTGCCCAAACGAAGTGGAGCTGGCCATCCTTGGGCGCGATGCTTGACGACTGGGGCGTCCACCTATCATGGTAACAACTGCGAGGCGGCCTGTTCACCGCGTGCTCCGGGCGTCGCAAAGAAGGTCTTTTCTCCGACGCATCCCCGCCGCATGGCGCGACCTGGGCGCCGTCGTCGCGGCCGAGCGAGGCCTCGATTATTTTGCCGCCGCCTGACTACAAATCGCCGGAGGCAAAATGAGATGCGCAGCCTGGCAGCCCGGCCTCCTTCGCAGCCGTTTTCGCGGCGGTGGCCACGCCTGGCGCAGGGGGGTCCGCGCCGGCGTCTCGGCCGACGCATCCGCAGCGCAGATGGCGCAACCAATGATGAGAGCCCTGGGAACGCGCGGCCCAGAAATGCCCGCGCTGGGGGTTCGGAAAGGGCCGCTTTGAAAGCCAGCGATGAAGAGACCTTCCGCCCGCGAAAGGCAATGCGGGTGGCTCGAAGAAGACGCGGCGGTTGGACCTTCAGGCCACCGCGGCGCAGGTCGAGCTCCTGCAGCCCATTCCGCGGCCTCCCCCCGAAGGCCCCGAAGAGGATCTGTTCGAAGAATACAGACAACAACGCGGGGGCCAGGCCGGTATATGCGGCCACTGACGGAGCCCGCGCGCGTCAGGCTCGCCCGCTCCTTGCTCGGGCTGGCGTCGGAGCCTTCTGCGGGCAATTCTGGCCGCTGGCTAAACTATTCAGCTCGGCTGCTGGGCTTGGCCCAGTCCGCCCGGCGCGCTGAGGCCTTCGCCCTGCCCCGCCTGGCGGCCGCTGCTGAGCGGCCTGTCCGCGTCTTCGTGGACAGCCGCGCCGTCGTCGACGGATTGGAGGCCCCCCTCGCGGGAGAGCCACGGGGGCCCAGGCAGATCTGGCAACGAAAGCCATCGCGTGCTACAAACCAAACCAGATATGTCCAAGGGCCAGAAACTCGAAGCAACTCTCGAGGAGCAAGGCGTGCATGAAGGCATAACCGCGCCGATCGCAGAGGCTTTTGTTGACCGCCGCGCCGATGAACTCGCCCCAGCCGGATCACGTCTGCGCGCCTTGCAGCGAGGCGTCAGCGACGGAGCCGCGCGGCGACGCAGATTCGCGGCGAGTCTCCCCGGCACCGCTATATTGCGGTGGATGGCCGTCGCCACCGCGCGGTGCCCTTGCCGGACAGACGCGCGCGTCATTCCAGGGCTGATTTCCGCGAGATGCAGCCCAAACCGCTCTCCATAGGGCAAGGAAGCGACGAGCCACCCGGCTCGCCTGGCGACCCCTCCGCAACGGCCAGGCCCACCAGGGCTGGACTTCTTCTTCGGTCTTGACGACCCATAGGGGGTCCCGCTCGACGATTCCGCAGGAGAAGACGAGGCCATCTGGGGCCAGGTGCGGTCTTGAACGGCGACGACAAATCAAGTGCTACCCCATCAGGAGGTGACAGCGTGCTTCTAACCTGGAGCGTGCCCCGCGGGGTTCAGTCCGCCTGGAACAACGGGCCTTCCGTCCGACCGCATCTCTTGGCGCCGCGATCCAGGGATGCCCGCGGGCGCACCTGGATGCTCGCGGCAAACAAAACAAGTTCTAGCCGTTCCTTTCGGGTGCGCTGCTAAAGCAACTGGCACCTGCTCCGCGGCCTTTGCACTGGGCCGCCGCGGGGGGTGCCCCTGGGCGGCCCCGCGGCTGACAGAGGCACCGAGGCGCGCGTGCCGAGGCGCGCTGTGAAAGCCGGCGCCGCGTGCTCGGGCGCGCAGACAGGGCGCGCCACGCCCTGATCGCCGCAGGCCCGTTCTGCTTCCCAGCCGGGGCCGCCTACGGACCACGCCAGGGGGAAGGGCGACGTGCTTCCCCGCCCCTCTTTGGCGTGCGGCTCTTGCCATCAGTGCGAGGTAGGCCTGAGCGGCAGTCGAGCTCCGCCAGGCCTCGACGACCTGCCGTCCGAGCTGTTGCGCTCTCTCCCTCTCTGCGCCCTCCCTGCTCAGCCGTCGCGCAGTGGGCCCCCCCCGGCATTCGGGTTGAGGTCCCGGGCCCCGCCGCAATCGCCCCGTGGGCCAACCCCCTGCAAAGCCTATGCGCGCATTCGGCGGGAACCTCGTCGGAGACATGGGCGATCGGAACTCTTGGGCGCGCAAAGGTGTTCGCGGTTCGGTCGGTCCGGATGCGTCGCAGCCAGCTGCGTGCGGTCGATTCGGTCCGGTCGGTTATTGTGGCGTTGCCAGGTCGCTGCGCCCTTGAAGGCTGTTTGCGGCCCGTCGATTTCGATCGGTTTCGGTTTCGATGTCGGTTCGGTCGGTGTTCGGTTTTGGTGTCGCCGTGCAAGGTTTTGGCACGCGTGGTGCCCCCCCTGGGGTACCCGCTCGTGTTGCAGCCGGCGATTCACGTATACCCTTGACCCCCGTGCCCTTCCGCCACCGCCTGGGCCACCCTTTCCTCTCCTTCCCTCGCCCCTCTCCCTCTCCTTGCCCTCTCCACCATTGCGCAATCTATATTCTATTCTCCTCACTCCCCTGATGTCGTTCAGAATGTATTCGGCCCCCCTCCGCGTAGTGTTTTTCTACACAGGATTCCCGGGAATTGGGTTTTCGCTTGGGTTTGTTGGCGAAGTGTTGCTCCCGCTGAAGCGTTGGCCTCAATGTCGGGTTTCCGCTCGTTCCGAATCGTACTCCCGCTGCAGCGTTGGCATCACTTCCGCGCTTCCGCTCGTTCCGAATCGTGCTCCCGCTGCAACGTTGGCCTCATTTCCGCGCTTCCGGTCGTCCCGAATCGTGCTCCCGCTGCAGCGTTGGCGTCATTATTGAATCGCTTCCCTCTTGGGGCTGTCTTGGGGGCTTCTTGTGGGCTTCTTGGGGATTCTTGGGGCTCCTTGGCGGCGTATTGGGCTCCTCTGGGGCCCTTTGGGGGGCTCTTGGGGGCCCCTTGGGGCGGGAGGGGGGGTAGTCGTTGGCAGCCCCCCCCTCGGAGGCCACGATCCTCGTGAGGGGTGGCGAAAAATAGCCTCCCCCCTGGGGATCGCCCGGGGGTCAGCCGGGGATCGGCCGGGGTACTTTTCGTCCGGGGCCCCCCAGGGGCCGCCCCGCGCGCGCGAACTAGAAATATTGTTAAGTAGTTACTGGAGATCTTAGCACGTCTTTGGCCCGTTGGGCCGGCGAATTTCCAGTGCCTTGCCACGGCATGGTTTTCGGCCCTTCCAAATCGGCACTAAAATTTAGAAAATGGCCTCCCGGAAAAAAAAAACATCGGAAGTGCTTACACATTGGGTGTCAATTCGTTGATTCGTTGTGCCGAAACGCCATGTTATGTCATGCTACGCGTTGATCTTCAACACCATGCTATGCCATGTAACGCTATGCCATGCTACGACATCCGATTGTTCGAATAGAGATCTAGGCCATGGGAAGGGATGGGAGGGAGGGGTAGGGCGTCAGATATGACGCGAGCGCACCTCGCTTGTCTTCCTCCCCTCCCTCCCCTTCTGTACTTTCGGAAAACCCAGGGGGGAGCGGTTGGAGTCGCCGCTAAGCAAGCACACCCACGCGCTTTTCTAGCATGTGGTGCTGATGGAGTTCGCCCACTTGCAGGTGGAATAGTTTTTCGCATTCGCCCGAACGCACACAGCGCCGACGTTCCTTCGGGCGTGTGTAGACTTGTCCTATCCCTCCTTCCTCTTCTCTGCCGCCCTTCTCCCGCTCTTCCCCAGGAAAAGGAGGAGGATAAGGAAAACGAGGAGGACGACATGAGGAGGACGAGGAGGACGAGAAGGAGGAGAAGGAGGAGGAAAAGGAGGAGGACGAGGAGGAGGAGGAGGAGGAGGAGGAAGAGGGGAGGAGGGGGAGGAGGGAGGGAGAGAAGGAGGAGGAGGAGGGGAGGAGAGGAGGAGGAGGAGGGAGGAGAGGGAGGAGGGGGGGAGGAGGGAGGAGGGAGGAGGAGGAGGAGGGAGGAGAGGAGGAGGAGGAGGAGGAGAGGAGGGAGGACTGAGGATGAAGGAGGAGGAGGAGGAGGAGGACGACGAGGACGAGGAGGAGGAACAGCAACAGCAGCAGCAGCAGCAGCAGCAGCAGGAGAACGAGGGGGCAGGAGGGGGGAGGGCTGGGAAGTCACCCTGGTTGTCCGTGCCCGGCTCCCCCTCCTCACGCTGGCCCCCTCCACGCGGCGCCTAGTCCTCCGCAGCCCCTCTCGCCGAGCCTCGGGGCGCGCCATGCGTCCGCCGGCCGCCCGCGCCGCCTTCGCCGCCTGGGACAGGGGCTCGCCCGTCTGCGGTTGCCTCGCAAATCCTCCCTCGTCGTCGTCGTCGTCGTCCTCCTCCTCCTCCTCCTCCTCCTCCTCCCTCCTCCTCTCCTTCACCTCCTCCAACCCTCCGTCCCCCCCCCCCCTCCTCCGCTCCTCGCCCACCTGCTCGTTGCTGCCGCTGCTGCTGCTGCTCCTGCCTCCTCCTCCTCTCTCCTCCTCCTCCTCCTCCTCTCCCCCACCCCTCCTCTCTCCTCCTCTCCTCTTCTCCTCCTCCTCCTCCTCCTCTCCTCCTCCTCCTCCTCCTCCTCCCCCTCCGTTTCCTTACCCCTCACTCTCGCCCCCTCCCCATCCTTTTCCTTCCTCCTCCACCCGCCATCTCTCCTTTTACCCCGCCGCCTCCACCCCCCCTTCCTCCTCAGTCCTCGCCCTACGCCCCTCACCCCCTCTTCATCCGCCTCCTCCTCCTCTCCTCCTTGCCTCCTCGTCCTCCCTCCTCTCCCTTCCCCCTCCTCCTCCTCCTCCTCCTCCTCCTCCTCCTCCTGCCTCTCCTCCCCCTGCTCTTCTTCCTCCTCCTCCGCCGCCTCCTCCTCCTCTTCCTCCTCCGCTCTGTCGCACCTCGAGGCCAGTCGGAAGGGCGGGCCGGGCTTTTCGCCCGAGACTTCCTTACCATCTACAGTGGGGGCCCATGCCAAGAAACACCCTGCTTGCTTCCAGGGTGCCCTGGGTTTCTTAGGTTTCGATGGTTTTGCTGTGGAAGGCGTGACGCTCCCACACCAACATCAATGGACGTCCTGGGTCGCAGGGTTGGGTTTCTTGTGGAAGGTTTCTTGTGGTCGGGCCTCCACTGTACGACCCTGATGGAGGGCGGGTCGCTTCCAAAGTGTGACTCTGGCCCCAGCGCCACGCGCATTCGTCTTTTATATGGAGAAGTGATGCAAGAGCTTCATGGATTGAGGGCGGGCCGTCGTCAAAATGTGGTTCTCGCCTTAGGGCCGCGCGCTTTCGTTTTCAACATTTGCAAGGGTTTCGCGGATTGAGGGCGGGCCGTTTTCAACACGTGGTTCTCGCCCCAGCGCCGCGCATATTCGTTTTAACCATTTGCAAGAGTTTCGCGGGTTCTCATTGTTAACGTATCAGACATGGTCTTGTGGAGCGGTTCAGGGTTGTCAGGGCGCAACAGTTACGTTGATTCGCGGCGTCCAAGTCCCAGGAACGGCGTTCTGGCACAATTCAAGATCGTCAAAAACGAACGGTCAGTTTGGTTCGTGGCGTTGAAGTTCCGAGAATGTTTATTGGCACGCCCTGGTGATACTGAACCTTTCTAGGGGCCTACGGAGGGGGAGCTTGGAGGGACGGTTTCTCCAAGCATCTTTGATGAGTGTTGGGTTTGCACTGGTCCTCCTCCTCCTCTGTAGCCATTTCGGCTCAAAGGTTCGAGGTTGGCCGCGCGCAGTTCGAAGGGGCGCAGCTCGGTCGAGCCATGGCGGCATCGTTGTTTTCCAGGCAGGGTGCTCGAGGGCTTCGACGTCGTGGTCGAGATGGCTTTCGGGGAGGGCGCCCAGCAGCTGATATTTTTCGTGGTCCTCTTCATCTGGGTGAAGGTGGTGGCTGCGAATCGTACTTTCCTCTTCGAGGGGCTTTGAGTGGCACCAGTCACTAATGTGTGGTTCGGCGTGCTCCTGGTGCTCTACTCATGCTTCGGGGTGGGTTCGTCGGAGGTCTTCTTCGTGGGGAGTGTCCAGTCGTCAGAGTTGGAGTAAACAGTGTGGCTCGGCCGCCGATGGGTGGCAGCGGGATGCTGCTGGAGATCTTCGTCTACTACTTTGTCTGCGCGTTGTGGAGTTCCCAGGGGATGGCCGGATCGTTCATCCGGGAGCGCGTGTGCGCGTGCTTCTGACGTTTCCCGGCAACAGCGGGATGCTCGTGAAGGCCTTCGCGCCTTGAGGCTCGGGGGGGCGTCGAGGAGGGCGGGCTCTCCCTAGGGCCTCCTTTAGGCTCGGTCCCCCATGTGTGCGGGGGGGGGGCTCAGGGGGAGTTTCGGCTCGGCCCTTCGCCCTCTGGCACCGGGGGGCTCCGCCTTTCCTTCCCGGGATGCGATGCATCAAAGATGCATTCGCTTTTTCATCTCATCCACTTCTTCCTCCTCATCTTTCTCCTCCACCTCCTCATCGTCATCTTGCCCCTCCACCCACCATCCCTTTGTTTCATCGGGAACTCGCCTGACTACTGGGCGTGCCGGCGGGGCGGGCGGGGCGTTTCGCCTGGGACTTCCTCCCGGCGCATGACCCCGCAGCCTGGAATTTCCATTCGTTTCAATGATCGGAGGGCTTTGGTTTTCAAGACCTTCGGGTCGCGCGCGTTCGTCTTGACGTCTTCCAACACTTCCACGGGCGGAGGGGGCGGTGTTCACGCTGTAGCTCTCGCGCCAGCGCCACGTGCATCTGTCCTCGGGTCTACCAACAGTTACACGGATAGAAAGGTGCGCATGGATGTAGCGCGGTTCTCGCCTTGCGCCGCTCACGCTCGTTTCTAACGTTCAACAGGTTCACGGATGGAGGGCGGTTGCATTTCAACATGCGACTCGCTGCGTGTGCCCCGCAAGCCCGTACCACATGTTTCAAAAAGGTATCCGGTTGGCTTTAGCGCCGTGCGCGGTCGTTTCAAACACTTCAAACGGTTTCACGCAGGGGTGGTGGTTCGTTTTTCGAACCGAGGCTCTTGCTTGAGACGTCTTAGGTTTTCCTTGCCAGGGGGTGAATGGGAGAAGCTTTGCACGGTTGAGGGCGGCTCTTAGTGGAAGCGGTGCTTTCAACGCTATGACCCTACTCCGTCGCCGTCACTGTAGCTATGCGCGAGACGGGCAGCTCCTTTTCCGCACGAGGATTCCGCTGAATTGCATGACCATCGTGCGTTCGACTTGAAGTGAAAAAGGAAATTCCTGTAGGGGCTCATGAGGAAGGGACAATGGACGAGCGGGTATTGCAGCATGGTTGATGCACATTGGGCTTACTTTGTTTCTTTCTTTGTCCCCATGGCGCCCTTTTTCGTCCTGCCCCCTTCCCCTCGCAATCTTCCCCCCCTCCCTGCCCCCCTTCCCCCCTATTCTCCCCGAAAGGACGAACTTGAGGAACGGGGGGGAGGGACCACAAAAACCCAGGAAGCGTCACCGCTGATGCCATACGCCCTTCCGTCCCGAGCCCCCCTCCCCAGAAGTCCCTACATGCCCTCCTTTTCACTACCAGAAGTGTTCCCATGAAAGACGACCTCCCTACGTGTGCCTGCCATTCGGGCGAGAGCCCGGTTGAAACACAACGGCGATTCATGCGTCTAGCAAGTTAGAAGCAACGCGAAGCGTCGGGATGGTGCACATTGGAATGTCTGCGCGCCGAGGGCCACGGTTTGCAAGTGGATCCCCCCCATCCGTGCGTCGAGAGCACAAATTTACAGCTCAGTTGTGGTTGGTACCTAAGCGGGGTGCTGAAGCGACAGCCCCCTCTTGGAAAGGAGCCGCCTTCTATCCGTGCAACCGTTTGATCTGTTCAACCTTCTGGATGCCAATTGTGAGGACATCTTGAACGAGAGCCACCTCCATCCCTGCATGTTCGAACATTTTCCGAACGAGTGCGAGCGGCGTTGACGCGGGAACCCCCATCTTGAAAAGGAACCACCCTGTGTCCTTGCAGCTGTCGCAACATGTTAGGAGGATAGCGAGCGTTGCTGATGTGAGCGCCTCCTTTTGAAACCCACCCCCTCCCGTGCAACTGCTGCAAACTGTTAAGACGAAGCTGCGCGGCGCCTCGGGCGAGCGCCCCGCCTTGAGCACCCGCTTCTTTTCCTGGAGCTGCTGCAGACTTCCAAAACGATTGAACGCGGCGCTGAACGGCGAGAGCCCCTTTTTGAGAAGATCCGCCGCCCATCCTTGTAATTGCCGGAGGCTTTCGAGACGAGCGCACGCGAGGTACAGGGGAGCTGGAAGCCACCCCCCCTCCATCCGTGCAGCAGTGCGCGGCGCTGAGGTGAGGGGCTCATCTCGAAATCCCCTCCTCCATCGTTATGCAGGCCTTCGAGACGAAAGTGCGCGGCGCTCGGGCGAGAGCACCGTTTCGAAAACCGCGCCCGGACCTGCAATGGTTACGAGTTTCAAGCTTCGGGATCCTGGGTTGAGGGGAGGTCTCGGGCGCAACGCCTAGCCAGCCCTGCCTGCACGTCCTGGGGGTGCGGCAGGGAGGTGTCATTTGGAAGGCGAAGGGATGGAGGACAAGGGGGGAGGAGGAGGAGGAGAAGGAGGAGGAGAAGGAGGAGGAGGAGGAGGAGGAGGAGGTGGAAGAGGTGGAGGCGGAGGAGGAGGAGGAGGCGGAGGAAAAAGGCAATGGAGGATACGGAGGGAGGAGGAAGGAGGAGGAGGAGGTGGAGGAGGAGGAGGAGGAGGAGGAGGAGGAAGAGGATAATGGAGGAGGAAGGAGGAGGTCAAGGGAGGAAGAGAAGGGGGTTGGGAAGGATGAGGACAAGGGAGGAGGTCAAGTGAGGAGGAAAGGGAGGAGGAGGAGGAGGAGGAGGAGGAGGAGGAGGACAAGGGAGGATAACAAAATAGGAGGAGGAGGATGAGGAGGAGAAGGAGGAGAAGGAAGAGGGAGGAGGAGAAGGGGGAGTTGGGGCAGGAGAACTAGTCATCCTCTTCCTCATCCCGTTCCTGCCCAGGCTTCGCTGGCCGCGGGCCATGGGGTGCTGCGAGTCCCCTCACGCCAGGGGTTCGCTGTCCGAACACCTCGCCACGGACCACCTGTTCTTTCCTCCTCTCCCCGCCTCCCTGATCCGTCATCCGTCTCCTTCTTCCGCCTCCTCAGTCTTGTCTCTTCTTTCCCTAGCATCCCTCCTTCTCCCTTACCATTCTCTTCATCACTAGTAGTCGTGCCATTATGTTTGCCATCGTGGGCCCGAACAGCGAGTTGGCGCACTGGAAGTGCAAGCTACGTGGTGGAAGCTACTGGTGGAAGCCATGTGGTGCAAGCTATGTGCTGAAAACTATGCGGTACGGGTGCAACATGCCCTGACCCCCGACGTCGCGATTTTTTCGCAACGCCGCCCCCCAGTGATCTGGGCCCCTTCCCTGGGAACGGCCTTTCAGCCCGAGTCGTTCTCTGACAGTCCCCGAGGCCCCGCGAGGGCCCCCCAGGAGGCCGAACCTGGCGCGAAGCCTCCCGTCACGATGTCTGCTCACGTCGCGAGGGGCTCCCTGGGCGCGTGGTGCCGCCGTGCGCACGGGGCGCCCCCCGAGGCGCCCACGCGCGGGCCCGCCGGGCGCAACGCCGGGGGAGAGCCGCCAGCCAGCAGGCGGAGGAGGCGCCCGCGGGGCGGCCCCTGGGCGGCCACCGGGGAGTCGGGGGGGGCGCCGGCGAGCGCGGGAGGCGCTCACGAGGCGGCCACGAGGCGGCCACCTGGCGAGACACCCGCCAGGAGTGCATGGAAGACCCATGCCAAGAACCCCCCGTGCTTGCCTCCAGGGTGCCCTGGTTTTTGTTTGGCTTCGGTGGTTTTGCGATGGAGGGCGTGGCGCTCCCACACCAAAGCTCCATTGGAGTCCTGGGGTCTCAGGGTTGGGCTTCTTGTGGAAGGTTTCTTGTGGTCGGGCCTCCACTGTACTTGCGGGGGCGCGAAGCAAGACGGCCTGGGTGAAAGCGTGCCTGTTCCGCAATAGCGTTTGGCTGGAGGGGTCAACGGTGGTAGGAAACCAAAAAAAAATCCACAGGGCCGTCCTCCTGGTCCTTCCCTCCCCCCTTCCTCCTCTTCCTCCTCTTCCTCCCCTTCCTCGTACGCTCGGCTCATCTTCCTCCCGTTCCTCCCCTTCCGTCCTCTTTCCTTCTCTCCCCCCTCCCACCCCCTCTCTCCTCCTCCTCCTCCTCCTCCTCCTCCTCCTCCTCCTCCTCCTTCTCCTCCTCCTCCTCCTCCTCCTCCTCCTCCTCCTCCTCCCTCCTCCTCCTCGCCCCTCTCCTCCCGTTCCTCCTCTTCCCCCCCCTTCCCTCCTCCTCCTGCCACCCCTTTCGCCACAGGTTCGGGAGGCCCTACGCGGGTGCCGCGTACCGGGCCGGGACGGACAGGCGGGGGGCACGGGCCAAGCCCGTCCTCGAGAAGGGGGGGGTGATGGTCGGGAGGAGAGATGCAGGACGCAACGCTGGGAGGAGAGATCAGGGGGGAGAGATTGGGAGAGACGAGGGAGGGAGGGAGGGAGGGAGGGAGGGAGGGAGGAGGGAGGAGGGGGGAGGAGGAGGGACGAGGACGGAGGAGGAGGGAGGAGGAGGGAAAGGAGAGAGGTGGAGAGGAGGAGGAGGAGGAGGAGGAGGAGGAGGAGGAGGAGGAGAGATCAGGAGGAAGAGAACGTCTGGACATAAAAAGGAGAGGATCAAGAGGAGAGAGGGAGGCGGGGGGGAGGTGAAGGAGAGAGATGGAGAGGCGGTTGGAGTCGTTCGGATGTTTCGGGTGGGCGAGCGGGCAGCGGTGGTGGAAACACAGTGCACTCCCTTGCCATCGCCGCAGTCTAGTACTCCCGCTCTTGCGGGCTTCTCCGCTGTTGTTTCGTTTTTGTCCCAACCATCCTGTGGTGTTGGATCGTCGTTTTGAAAAGACGGTCTCCGCGTCTCCTCCTCCTCCTCCTCCTCCTCCTCCTCCTCCTCCTCCTCCTCCCGTGCCCCCCCAGTGGGGGTACCACATGCGTCCCCCACATTCAGTACAGCGCTTCGTGGCCCCATAGGGAGCTCCACGTAGGGCCCCATTGGGGGTACCACATGCGTCCGCCACACCCAGTGCAGCGCTTCGTGGCACCATAGGGAACTCCATCGGAGGCCCCAGTGGAGGTGGCCACACGGGTCCGCCACACTCAGTACAGCATTTCGTGGTCCCACAGGGGGCTCCACGTAGGGCCCCAGTGGGGGTACCACATGCGTCCGCCAAACCCAGTACAGCGTTTCGTGGCACCGTAGGGAGCTCCACGCAGGGCCCCAGTGGGGGTGGCCACATGCGTCCGCCGCACCCAGTACACCGCTTCGTGGCCCCATAGGGAGCTCCATCGGAGGCCCCAGTGGGGATGGCCACATGCGTCCGCCACACCCAGTACAGCGTTTCGTGGCCAGTGGGACCGTCCGCATGCGTCCCGCACACCCAAGTCGGAGCAGTTTCACCCACCCACTACAGCGTTTCGTGGCCCCATAAGGAGCTCCACCGAAGCCCCCAGTGGGACCGCCCGCACGCGTCCCGCAGACGCAATTTGACATTTTCACCCACCCAGTACAGCGCTTCGTGGCCCCATAGGGAGCTCCACCTAAGGCCCCAGTGGGGGTGGCCACATGTGCCCGCCACACCCAGTACAGCGCTTCGTGGCCACATAGGGAACTCCATCTGCGGCCCCTGTGGGAGTGGCCACACGGGTCCGCCACACCCAGTACAGCGTTTCGTGGCCCCATAGGGAGCTCCACCTGCAGCCCCAATGGGGGTGGCCACATGCGCCCGCCACACCCAGTACAGCGTTTCGCGGCCCATAGGGAGCTCCATCGGAGGCCAAAGTAGGGATGGCCACATGCGTCGCCCCCATCCCATTACGGCACGTCCCTCACGCGATTCGTGGTAAGGAGGTTCCACCGAAAGCGGCACCCACAACGCCGCGTTACTCACAACTTCATATGGTTGGGTCCTTCGCCAGGATAAGTTACGCATTTCCTGTCCCGCTTAGTCTGTACCAAGGTGATAAGAGTGAGAGGTTGATGTCGATCGCACGCTCAAGGAGGTCTCTTTGCAGAGTGCGTTCAGGCGCAGCGCCTCCAAAAGGCAATGGCAGGGCAACGTGAACATGGGAGGAGGAGGAGGAGGAGGAGGAGGAGGAGGAGGAGGAAGAAGAACGCCACATGCTTACGCATTGGGTCCGACCAACTCCAGAAAAAAAGAGGAGGAGGAGGAGGAGGAGGAGGAGGAGGAGGAGGAGGAGGAGGAGATTGCCAGGGGCAGCGTGAGGGGTAGAGAGGCTCAACGGGTGGAACGCGTCGACCCCCAGCCGCCCATGGATCGCCGACGGGAGCCCAAGTTGCCCCCCTCGTTGCCACCGCTTGCCCAGAGAGCGCACGGGAGGTGCGCGTCTTGTCGCCCCCCGCTTATGCCCCGCTCCTCCCCTGTGAACGAGCATTTGATCCTTGGGGTCAGCTCAGCATTTGTGCTTGCATCCTGCACGGTGGCTGAATTCGCCTGGCGTTGTCCCGTTTCGCTTCGCTCGCCAGCGCAGCCCTCTGCCTGGCGGCCGACGCACAAGTTTTTTGGTGTGTAAACAATGGCCCCAGGACCCGGAATCGGCCTGCATACGCAGAGCGTAGCCCCACGACTTCAGCCTCGTTGGGCTCAGGATGCTGGAGGTCCTGGGGGGGGGGCCCCAGGGGCCCCAGAGGCACCAGGGTTCCCTTCCCCCCCCCCCCGAGGCACAAAATAACAACATCGGTCATCGGTCAACGATCCTCCTCCTCCTCCTCCTCCTCCTCCTCCTCCTCCTCCTCCTCCAATTCCTCCTCCTCCTCCTCCTCTTTCTCCTCCTCCTCCTCCTCCTCCTCCTCCTCCTCCTCCTCTTCCTCCTCCTCCTCCTCCTCCTCCTCCTCCTCCTCCTCCTCCCTCTCTTGGGCTGCATGCGCTAGCCACCAGCCAATTTCCAATTCCAGTTTCGGGCCCTGCCCTAGCCGTGGGCGAGGTGGGCCAGCGGACTTTTCATCTCTTCAGCAGGTCTAGGGACTTTTCACTATGCGTTCAGAGCCTCGCGCACGGAGCCAGCGCGTTGGAAGCAGTGCAGCAATTGTGGCATGTCTCGGCCAGCTAGCTGCACGACGAAACGTTTTCGTGTGGAACCGCCTTGGCACAGCCGCCAGAGGGCACCAGTAGCCGTTGGTCGAGTTACCTCCCGATTGCCGACGCCAGAACACAGGGGTACACGCAGGCGGTTGAACTTTCATCCTGTTTCCGACATGGCGCAGACTTGGTTTTGGGGCCTCTTGTGATACGCCAGACTTTCTAGATCGAGTGACCTACAGGTCATGTTCGGCCCCGGGATCCGAAGTTGGCACTGCTTCAAGATGACAGCCCCGTTGGCAAAGACAGTCCGGGGGGCGGGCGTCTTGAGTATGGCGGCAGGGCGGGCAATGACAAAGGCATAGGCAAGTGGAACGAGCTGCCAAGCCCCAGCATCAACAGCTAGCGATTCCAACACCTCTGCAGAAAACTCCAGTGTCGAGATGGCAAACGATCGAAAAGAGGTCATTGCATGCAGCCATCTCTTGTTCCGCCCCCACAACCAGCACTTGACTCGACAAAAGGCAGCCTTGCAGACGGCCCAGGTTCGGCTGGACCACTACAGGCAATATCAACGATACCCGCACCATTCCCAGCCTGCTCGAGGACCAGCTCACCATGGCCGCCGAGTGGATCTAGAGGCACACCGTCGCCTTGAGGAGCTCGAGGCAAGTGCGCCGCCCGATGCCATGGACGAGACAGAAGCGGAGGTAGAGGCAGATGCGGCAAACCACGTCAGTGGGTGCCGAAGGGACTCCCAGAACACCTTCCTCCACGAGCCGATGCGACAAACGCCGCCGGCCCAGCTCTCGGACGTGGCCATCATGCAGCGGCAGCACGAGCAGCTCAGCACTACCATCGCCAACCACCAGATGCAGGTCACGGATACCATTGCGCGCGACAGTACCGTCGTCACGGCATTGCAGCTGGGACCTGTCCAGTGGTAGCTGGAGGTGCTCCGGCGGCGGCAGCAGGGCCATGGTCCCTCCAGTTTGCTGAGAGGCAGGCCCCTGCTCAACGACCTCGGCGCGAGTCGCCTCAGCAGAGGCGCGGATCGCGCAGTCCACAAAGAGCCAGGGCAGCAGACTACTAGGGGAGAGATAATCGGCAGACGGAGATGCCGTGGCCCGCCTGCGGGAGGGGCAATCGATACCGCGACTCCGATCGATTTGCCTGGCCACCGGAGTGGAGAACGACCATGCATTTTCAGGCGCTGTTCAGGATGAGTTCGTTCCAGAGCTGAGTGTCGCTGGCGGCCTCTTCCAGCCTCGGGGCGTCATGCGCCGTCGTGATTGGCGGCTGCACAAGGAAATTCCTACTACCATGTCCCGTTGGTTTTCGGGGGTCATTCACTTTGGGAGTAAGGTTTTATTTGTAGCAAGTCAAGAGATCGGAGATTTCCAGATGTAAGGATGGGAGTGGATGCGTGCCGTGTTTCCCTCTGGCATGTGCCTTTTATGTATTGGTCGGCACCCGCGATGATGCGCATCACTGTTGGGCTGATCTTGCAGGGGCGCTCGGGAGACAGAGCCGTTCGAAGTCCTCCCTGCTCAATTGAGCCCAGCGTCGGTATCGCTAGCTTCGCTTTGGGCAATGGCGCAGTCGATCCAGGCGTTGGTTCCAACTATCCCTTCCACTTCCACCTCGACGCGGCAATTGTCACTCGCGCTGACACAGGGGCATGGAGATCCCTCATCTTGGAGGGCTGTCGCGCTGCACGCGGGCCGTGAGGCGCATGCTTGCGCGCGCGAGCGGCGGGTTTGGTTTTAACGCGCGCACGAGCGCGCCAACCACCCAGCCAACGAGTGGGCGGACGCACTGGCTGCGCTGCCGGGCTCGAGTATCACCGTTTCCCGGATTCGGTATGTCCGCGGGGGCGCCCCTTGTCCGAGGGCCAGGCCTCGGCAGGGCGGGCTCTGGCAGCGCTGCTGCCGGAGGGTCTCGAGGTGCAGTGGCTCACATCTCGTGATCGCCGCGGATCCATCCAGGGCGTATGAGGCCGCCGGGGGCCCCCGCCGCGCTCCGCCCGCAGCCTGTCTGCGCCCGTCGGTCAGCTGCCCGGCCTCGCCCAGCTCCCGGCCGAGCGCGCCGGCGAGAGGGAGCGACCTCGGCTCGAGATCAGGGCGGTGTTCGCCGACGCCCGTGCCCAGCAGAGCACTGCCGCGGGGGCGACGAAGACCGGGGCTTTCATCTATGGAAGGCCACGGGCCGTTGCTGACTGAGCTGAACAAGAAAAAACAAACAAAAAGCATGGTGTTCCTGGGCCGGGCCGAGGTCGGCCCCTTCCGCGACCGGTTCCCTCCGCCGTGCCGCCAACCGGCCTGTCGTGATTCTGCTCGTGGATGCGAGCTCCGCGCTGGGGGCCGGGGGCTCGGAACCCGGGGGCCTGGTCGGTGCTGACAGCGAACCGTTATGCAGCCCATGTCTTTGCAATTATTACGGGGCCTGATTTTTCGCCGCCGATTTTGATTGGAAAAAGATGGCCCCCCCTGGAGGGGTGTTCCCAACGAGGCGCGCGGGCCGCGTTGCCGTGCCCCCGCGGCGCCTCCCGCGCGCGCCGGGGCCCTCGGTTGATCGCGGTGCCTCGCCGTCGATCCCGAAGCCCGACCGCTTCCTCGTGCAGCTCGCGGTTGGGGCTCCAGTTCCTCGCGCGCGCTTGGGCTGCGCCGCGCAGCCCCGAGCCCGCCCTGGCGGGCCCCGTGCTCTCGGAGGCCCCCGAGAGGTCGGCCCAGCTCGCGCGGCCGCGCGCCGCTCGCCGCTCGCCGCCCCGCTGGAGCGTCTTGCGCCCGCGGCGGCGCGGGGGGCCTGTCCTTCCACAGGAGGGATAGACAACATTTGTGAGATTGTTTTTGTTGTTTTTTGTCCCGAATCCTCCTTGGTCGGGTATTCGTTTTGAATAGAGCACCGCGGTCGCGTCTTCCTCTTCCTCCTCCTCCCGCCTCCCGCCTCCAGCTTCCTGCCTCCTGTCTCCCGCGAGACCTCGCCGTCCCTGGTGTGTGTGTGTGTGTGTGTGCTGCGATCTGCGAAATTGTCACCATTTTCTAGGGCTGCCGGTGGGTCCAGCGGAGTGAGGCACCGCGCGGATCTGAAGCGGTAGCTCGCCGTCCCTGGGGTGTTGCGATTTGCGAAACTGTCGCCACTTTCGATGGCTGCTGGTGGGTCCAGCGGAGTGAGGCACCGCGCGGCTCTGAAGCGGTAGCTCGCCGTCCCTGGGGGGCTGCGATCTGCGAACCTGTCGCCACTTTCACGTCATCACCTCCGTGTAGTGTCTCCCAAGCTACTCATGATTCATGCCCCGCATTGCGCAGGGGTTGGGTACGCCGCCAGGGTCATGGGTTTAGAACTATGTCTTTGTTTTTCGTCCAGGCTCCGCCTGTAGGGGGGCGTGCCCGACCGAAGGCTCTGTCCCGGACGTGGCCCCCGGGGGCGCCCTGCCTGAGCCCGCGCGCGCGCGCCCCCGCAGGCTGCGCGCCCGCGTCGCCGCGGCCCGCAGCAGGCGCGGGGGTCGCCTGCTCGGCAGCGGCGGGGCGCGGCGTTCAATGGTCGTCAGACCGCGCGCGCGGCGCGTGCAGAGCGGTCGTCGCGCCCCGCCTGCGGCCGCGCGGTGCGTCGGGCAGCGGGCGGCGCAGTATTTTTGAATTTTTGCTGGAGCAGCGCGCGCTCACGATGGGCGCGGGCGCGGAACAGTCCAGGCGCGCGCTCGGCGGCTTGCTCCCCTCAGGAATATACCCGGCGCTGCCGAGTGCCTAACTGGCCCCGAATGCTGGGCCGGCGCTGCGTCGTCGCGCCGAAACTAGGCCCGCGAGCGCGCGCTTTTCAGCGCTTGCCGCTGCGACCGCTCAATTGAGAGGCGCGCGCGCGATCGAGGCGGGGCGTCGACGCTGCTCTCAACGCAGTGGCAGAGCCTATTGGGGCCTCCTGGTCGGCCGAAGCGCGCGGGGGTGCGTCTGCCTGTCTGGGGCGCTTGGGCGCTGCTGGCCAACAAACAAGTATCACCTTTGACCTGGTGGTCCATCTGCGGTCCGAGGCTGGGACGGGTCATTGGCTTCTTCGGCCCAGGATACCGGCGAGTTGCGTTTGGGGCAGTTGCTGCTCGGGAGAAGGCGACCGAGGTGCTGCCGTCTACTTCCTGTCAGATGTTGCAGCGTCGATGTGAGCCGTTAGCTTTGGTTTCACAGCAAGTGCATGACGCCCCCAGCCTCTGGGACGTTCGGCGCGAACTCTGAGTGGCCAAGAATGGCGCAGGCGGTGCCGATGGCCTCCATGACATATTCGCGCACGCATGCTTCAGTTCCTTGGCTCTAGCCTTCGAGCCGTTGGCAATTCAAGGTCGCCTTGCCGATATCAGAACCGCCGCGCTGCAAAGCAAGTGACCTTGCCAGAGATCCCAGCGCTAGAGGTACCATTTACTATACCAGTGGGTCGAGGCCCGCATCGGTCGCTTCGCGCACCTGCAAAACAAATACGGTGGCGGCGTTCGTTGAGGAATGTGCACGGGAGGCTTCACGCCCCAGAGGATTCTTTATTTGGTGAGGGCGGCGGTGATATCCATGGCCAATCCACGATTGAAGTCCATCAGTCAGAGCCCCGAATCATCAGTGGTAACTCGGGTCAGGGCTGACTCGGGTTCGTTTGTCGGGAATCCGAACCCGAGTTGCCCCGGGCCCGAGTTGCCCCGGATAATTCGGCCGTCCACAGCCCCAAATCATCATGGGTAACTCGGGTCAGGGCTAACTCGTGTTCGTTTTCTTGGGAATGCAAGCCCGAGTTACCCCGGACCCGAGTTGTCCCGGATAACTCGGGCGCCTGAATCAGGCTTCCAGACCCCAGATTCCTTGTCTCATGCTTCCTTATCCGATGCTCTCACCGCATTCAGGCTTGTGTGGAAAACGTATAGTCTGCTGCAGGTTCTCGCCTGTGTGCAGGGGCGCCATGGCGCGGCACCCAACCGGCTCTATTTGTAGCTCGAATTTGGACGAGGTGCGCGATAGGAGCATGTTTGTGTGTGGCATGCGCAGCGCAGCTGCAAGATCCACCACGGCATCCCCGCGCCGACCTTCATGGTCTGAGCGGGCTCCTCCCTACTTCCCCTTTGCGCTCTGCGGCCTTTCGCCGTCGTGCCTCTGTCTGTTCGCAGTGCCTCCGACCGATTGCTTGACTGGCATCTGACTGCCTTGGACCATTTTGCGCCCGCGGACTCCAAAAGTTTGGCATGCGCAGTTGTCGACGTCATGCAAGTTTGTTGAATGGCCGCGCGCGAGTATGTGCCAAATGCAGATCTCCCCCTATCCCTCCGCGACCTCCTCAGGCATGTTAGGCCGCAGAGTCATGCATGCCATTGCTGGCCCAGAATATCCGGGAGTTCCTGTCAAGTCGTGATCAGGATGTTGGATGTCATATCGAGGCCATGGTTGAGGGCTCTGTTCGAATGGGGCAGCTTCATTTTCCAGGACCCGCGCGCGTTGCTGTAATCTTTTTCGCGGGGCTCGTCCTAGGGCACCGTCCGAGGGTTATTCATTATTCTACTTCATGGCGGAGGTTGCCGACGGCGCGTCGAGGAACCTGGCGGAGCTGGGTCCCGCATTAAGTTTTGCCACAACAGGGCGGGCGCCCAACCGTTTCCTGTGGAATATGTGTAGCCGATTGAGTTCCCCGGATTTGCACATGCTGATGATTCTTCACTTGCTAGTTTTGCTCCTCAGCGTTCTCAGCGTTTTTGTCCGTCGAGTGCCCAGGCTATGTCGCTATGTTTATGTTCATAAATCGCCATCCTCGGTAGCTGGGTTGTTTTGTACCCTCGTGCTTCCCTGGGGGTTCTTGCGCCTAGGCCTTGCATCTGCGATCGAGCCACTACTCTTTCAGCTTTTCCCACAGATGTGGGTCTCATCGGTCTGCAACCTATTTGAAGAGTCGCACGTTTCTGGCAGTGATCCCCGTCTGAGATTTTTCGCGGACTCGCTGTATTATGCACCTTGTCTTACCCGCCTCTTCCTTCTCTTCTGGAACTACATTCGGACAAGGGGCGTTGTCTCATCTGCTGATGGACCGACCTCCGGGCCCCGAACTCTGGTCGAATCGGTCTCCAGACCCCTCCCGAGGTTCATCCCCACCAATTGTTCGAGCTGCGTCCAGCCGTGGCAACTCGAACAATTGGACGACCTCGTCGACGGCGCAGGTCGTCGCAGGCCTCGACCCTGGAGCACGTACCCTCCGGCATCCGCGTGTGCGAGGAGGCGCTGGACTTGCGGGCTGCCGCCCCCGGCGAACCGACGCTGGTGCCCGGGGGCAGGGTCCGAGAGGGAGGGGCTGGTTGCGCGCAGGAGTGGCCGTTCGCCGGTGTGCTTTTTGCTGCAAGCCCGCGGGTCCCGCAGCACCGGCTCGTCTCCGCAGAGCCGCACGAGGCAGAGGGAGTGAGGGGGCGGGGAGGGGAGGAGGAGGAGAAGGGGAGGGACAGGGACGAGGCGAGGGGCGAGGGGAATGTGAGGGTGTGGGCGGGGAGCGCGAGCAGAGGGAGGCGCGGCGTGAGGGGGAACAGGAGGAGGAATATAGGAGGAGGAGGAGGAGGAAGAGGAGGAGGAGGAGGAAGCAGAAGCGGCGATCTCTTCGATCAACGTGGGGGTAACGAAACCGGCAGCATGGGGGTGATGATGAGGAGGATCGCAGCTTCAGCCTTGTCACACCTCTCGCGGTGCCAGTGGCTCGCGAAAGCGGCCAGGGACGAGCAGGAGCACCCGGAGCATGCTGGAGACTGAGCGCACCCCCTCGATGCCGTGAGCCTGCCCCCGGGTCTAGCCACGCACAGAGGGGGGCAGGGGGACGGTGGCAGGCTTCGTAGAAGCACCCCTGCTTCTTCTTAGAAGGCATGGGCCTTGTCTATAGATGAAAGGCCAGCGCCTTCTCAGAAGCAGCCTCCTTCTGGGAAGCTTGCCCCCCTTCGCCTACGCCCTCTTTGCGCGTCGCCAACAGGTGCTCTACCACTACTCAACCTGCGCGGCGCTGGCCGTGGTTACCGCGGCGGACATGGGCGAGGCGGAGACGGTGGCCGCCCTGTCGGAAGACGCGGGCCCCTTCGGCAGAGGCCACTGCACTGCTGCAGAGCAGCACGCGTCGGGGGACCTCACCCGGGCCTCGGGCATTGTGACACTGGGCGCCCCGTTTCTCACATATCCTAAGATGGGACCTTTGTTGTTATTCAGACGCCTCCGAGTCGCCTCTGGTCCCGATGCCTCGTCTTCACTCAGGCCCACTCATGCTCGGACGCACTCGTCACACTCAGACTCCATCACAATCAGATTCACTCGCACTCAGGCTCACGACTACCACCTGCTACTACTACTACTACTACTACTACTACTACTACTACTACGACTACCACTACTACTACTACTACTACTACTACTACAACAACTACTACTAGTACTACTACGACTACTACTACTACTACTACTACTACTACTACTACTACTACTTTTACTTTTACTACTACTACTACTTCTAATACTATTACTACTACTACTACTAATACTACTACTACTACTACTACGACTACTACTTTGACGACGACTATGACTATTACTGGTACGATTACTACCACTGCGACGACGACTACGACCCCTACTACCACTACTACTACTACTACTACTACTACTACTACTACTACTACTACTACTACTACTACTACTACTACTACTACAACGGCTACTACTACTACTACTACTACTACTACTACTACTACTACTACTACTACGACTACTACTACGGCTACTATTACTACTACTACTACTGCTACTACTACTACTACGACGGCTACTACTACTACTACTACTACTACTACTACTACTACTACTACTACTACTACTACTGTTGCTACTATCACTACTACAACTACTACTACTGCTACGGTTACTACGGCCACTACTACTACTACTACTACTACTACTGCTACTACTACTACTACTACTACTAATACTACTACTACTGCTACGACTACTACTACTACTACTACTACTACTACTACTACTACTCCTGATCCGACTACTTATACTATTACGACTACGGCTACTACGACCACCTCTGTTATTATTATTGTTTTTACTCGTACTAGTATTATTACTTCTGCTACGACTACTGCTACTGCTACGACTACAACTATTGCTACGAGTACGATGGCGACGACGACTACTACTACTATTACTACTACTTCTACTACTACTACTACTACTACTACTACTACGACTACTACTACTCCTACTGTTACGACTACTATTACTACTACTACTACTACTACTACTACTCTTGCTACTATTATTACTACTACGACTACTACTATGGCTACTACTACTAACATTGATAGTACTACTATACATACACACGACTGCTATTACTGCGACTAGTACTACTATTACTAGTACTTCTTCTACTACTACTACTACCACTACTACTACTACTACTACTACTACTACTACTGCTGCTAATTTTACTACTTTTACTACTACTACTCCGACTACTACTACTACTACTACTACTACTACTACTACTACTGCTACTACTCCTACTACTACTACTACTACTACTACTACTACTACTACACATACTGCTGCTACCAACTACCACTACTACTAGTACTACGACGACTACTGGTACTACGACTACTACTACTACCCCTACTACTTCAACATTGTTTCTACCGACTACTACTTCTACTACTCCTACTTCTCATCCTCATACTTCTGCTACTACTACTACTACTACTACTACTACGACTACTACTAGTACTACTGTTACCACTACTACTACTACTACTACTACTACTATTTTTACTACTATTACTACTACTACCACTACTACTACTACTACTACTGCTGCTGCTGCTGCTACTACTACTACTACTACTACTCCTACTACTACTCCTACTGCTGCTGCTGCTGCTGCTGCTACTACTACTACTACTACTACTACTACTACGACGACGACGACGACGACGACGACGACGACGACGACGACGACTGCTACTACTAGTGCTACTATGATTACTTTCGCCAGACGGCGTGCCCGCTAGCAGGGCTCTACACGACCGCCCTCGAGCCCGCCGCGTTCGGGTCCAAGGCCGCCGTGATCGTGAACGGGCACTGGCCCCGCGCCGCGGATGTGGCCGCCGAGGTGTGGGGCATGGTCCACACGAACGGGAGGGGGGAGTATGATGCTGATAATGGTGATCGTGATGGTGGTGCTAGTGGTGATGACGATGTAAGATGATATGATGGTGGTGGTGATGACGACGGTGGTGGTGGCGAGGATGACGATTATGGCGGCGATGATGGTTATGATGGTGAGGAAGACGATGACGAAGAAGATGCTCATGATTATAATGATGAGGGGAGGAGGAGGGAGACGGGAAAAGATACATCCGTTGTGCGTGACAAACCTGCCCGCAGCCGAAGTCTGAAAGGGGGAGGAGGAAGAACATGATGAGGACGTCGAGGGGAAAGGCCAGTGTAAATCCAAGACGCATCAGCGATGTTGCAGAAATGCCTCCATGCAAGCCCCCCCCCCCTCATAGGCCCCTACAAGAGCTCATGTCCATGACGGGAAGAACCAGTGGAAGACAGCCGTCTGAGAATCCCCAATCGTGCCAATGTATTGCTCTTGGGACTTGAACAAGAATCCCCAAGACGCCGCGAGTCAAGATGAATGCTGCGATCTGGCAGGCACAAGTCGTGCCAGAACACTATTACACAACGAGTCAACGTGACTGCTGCTTACTGACACTGTTACGCCAGCCAGAACACCACTACTGGGATTTCAACCATTCGAATCCTTGAAACTGCGTCAAACGTTAGAGGCGAATGTGCGCGGCGCTAGGGCAAGAGCTTCATTTTGAAAAGGAGTTGCCCTCCATCTTTCAAGCGGCTGCAAACATTCAAGACGAATGTGCACTGCGCGATGGCGAGGGCCACATTTTGCAAACGGAGCGCCCTCAATATTTGAAACCGTTGCAAGCTTTTGCAACCAATGTGTGCGGCGCAAAGGCGAGAGCACCATTTTGAAGACCACACGCCTTCCATCCGTGAGAACCGCTGCAAATTTCAAGCTTCAGGACCATAAGTGGTGAGGAAGTCTCAGGCGAAGCGCCCGGCCAGCCCTATGGACACGTCTGGAGGTGCGACAGGGAAGCGCCATTCAGAAAGAAACAAGATGGAGGAACATGGTAGGATCTAGAATGGATCTAGCACTCCGGCGAGTCAGGAACCAGCGAACCAACTAAAGCTCGAGCAAGGACGCACCACCTTCCCCCAGACCTTCCCCGGGCAATAAGGCGGGGTGACAAACCAAAGTTCCGAGCTGACGCTGACGGTGCCGCTCCAGCTTCCTTGCGAACCTGCCGTGCTCGCTCGTACTCCCTGCAATTTCGCCGCCCTTCTCGCATGGACTACTCCCACCGTTGTAGTTGATATGTTGCTCACTGCCGCCCTCCGCGCATGAACTACCCCCAGCGTCGTAGCTGATATACCGTTCACTGCCTCCATTATCGCACGAACTGCCCCCAGCGTTGTAGCTGACGTGTCGCTCACTGCCGCTCTTCTCGCACGAACTACTGTCAGGGTTGTGGCTGATACGCAGCTCTCGTTCTCGCACCAATTACTTCCAGCGTTGTAGTGGACTTTTGCCCTGTGCCGCCCTTCTCGTGAGAACTCCCAGCGTTGTAGCTGATATGTCGCTCACTGCCGCCCTTCTCGCATGAACTACGCCCAGCATTGCAGCTGATACGTCGCGCACTGCAGCCATTCTCGCGCGGACTGCTCCCAGCGTTGTAGCTGATACGTTGCTCACTGCCGCCCTTCTCGTATGGACTACAGACCGTGAGGACACTGCCTGCCTTCTCGCACGAGCCGCTTCCAGCAGTGTAGCTGATATGGCGCTCACTGCTCCCCTGCGCGCAAGGGACTCTCTCAGCGTTGTAGCTTATATGTCGCTCGTTGTATTGGCGACCTCTTGGGCCGTCTTCAGGCGTCTTGTGCCATCTCGGGCCGTCTCGGAGCCTGCTGGGGCCCGCCTTGGGGGCCGATTGGGCGGTCTTGGGGCCCTCGTGGGCCCTCTGGGGCCCCTCTCGGTGGCCTGCTGGGCCGATCTTTGGGAACTCTTGGGTCGCCTGGGAGCGCTGGCGGCTCGAAAAAGCGAGAACTCCAACATCAATGAAACACCCAGTGACGGACAATTGAAAGCTCCCTTGGCTTCTCGGGGCCCTCTTTGGGGCCCTCTTGGGGGCCTGCTTGGGGCCGTGCTCGGCCGTCGGAAGGCCAGACTGGCGTCCTCCTTGGGCCGCCCGGAGGCGTCTCGGGCCGTGCGGGCCCGTCTCGGGGCTCGCTGGGGGTCGGCGACCCTGGGTCCCCCCCGCCCTGCCGGCGCGCGCCGCCTCTGGCCGTGCGTGGTGGGCGCGTCGCGCACGGCCGCCCTCATCGTACGATTCAGTCGGGCACGTCCCTCTGCAGGAGGAGTAGTCACAATAGTCAAAAATTATCTTGGCGAAGGACCCAACCATATGCAATTGTGAATAACGCTTTGTGGGTGCCGCTTTCGGTGGGGCTCCTTATGGGGCCACGAAAGGCGTGCCACGAAACGCTGTCCTGGGCGTACGGGACGCATGAGGGCGGTAGCACTGGGGCCTTCGGCGGAGCTCCCTATGGGGCCACGAAACGTGTGAGGGGTGTGCCAAATTGGGTGCGGCGCCGCCATGCGAACGCAGCCGCTGGGGCCTTCGGTGGGGCTCCCGATGGGGCCACGAAGCGTGTGAGGGGTGTGCCAAATTGGGTGCGGCGCCGCCATGCGAACGCAGCCACTGGGGCCTTCGGTGGAGCTCCCTATGGGGCCACGAAGCGTGTGAGGGGTGTGCCAAATTGGGTGTGGCGCCGCCATGCCAACGCAGCCACTGGGGCCTTCGGTGGAGCTCCTTATGGGGCAACGAAGCGTGTGAGGGGTGTGCCAAATTGGGTGCGGCGCCGCCATGCAACGCAGCCACTGGGGCCTTCGGTGGGGCCACGAAACGTGTGAGGGGTGTGCCGAAATGGGTGCGGCGCCGCCATGCGAACGCAGCCACTGGGGCCTTCGGTGGAGCTCCCTATGGGGCCACGAAACGTGTGAGGGGTGTGCCAAATTGGGTGCGGCGCCGCCATGCCAACGCAGCCACTGGGGCCTTCGGTGGAGCTCCCTATGGGGCCACGAAGCGTGTGAGGGGTGTGCCAAATTGGGTGCGGCGCCGCCATGCCAACGCAGCCACTGGGGCCTTCGGTGGAGCTCCCTTATGGGGCCACGAAGCGTGTGAGGGGTGTGCCAAATTGGGTGCGGCGCCGCCATGCGAACGCAGCCGCTGGGGCCTTCGGTGGAGCTCCTTATGGGGCCACGAAGCGTGTGAGGGGTGTGCCAAATTGGGTGCGGCGCCGCCATGCCAACGCAGCCACTGGGGCCTTCGGTGGAGCTCCCTATGGGGCCACGAAACGTGTGAGGGGTGTGCCGAAATGGGTGCGGCGCCGCCATGCGAACGCAGCCACTGGGGCCTTCGGTGGAGCCCCCTATAGGGCCACGAAACGCGTGAGGGGTGTGCCGTGATAGTGTGAGGAGGGAGGAGGGGGGGGAGGAGGCGGAGGAGGAGGAAGGAAGGAAGGAGAGGAGACGCGGGGCACCGTCTCTTCAAAACGATGACCCAACGCCACAGGATGGTTGGGAAATAGTCTGGGGACGATTTCCCGTATAGTTTTGTCCATTTGGGAGCATTTTACTGGTACTCTTTAATGTTTCGTCGAGAATCGGCATGTACGGGGACATGCCGACCTATTCGTACGAGCCGCTCCCAGCGTGGTACAGCGGGACCGAGGTATTTTGGATCGAGGTCGGTTCGTTTGCATTGTCCCTGTGTCCCCACAGGCCGAGGTCCGCGGCGTGCGTTTGCCTGTATTGCAGGTTGGCGAACGTCGTGCTCCACTTGAACGCCTGGTGGATCACTTCAGGCATAGAATTGTTGTTTTTGTTGTTGTTTTTGTTGTTGAACATTATTAATTCTAAAGAATAATTATTGTTGGGACCCCTGGTGCACGGCCCCCCTGCGCCGCCTAGGCCGCAGCTACATTTTCATCATTTTCGTGAGGAAGCCTCAGGTAATACGATGTCATCAAGATCCGGTTGTTTTGTTGTAATCCGTTTTCCCTTGCAAAAAACACTATAAAATGACATTTCTTGTTCTAATATAATCAAATTTCAAGAATCCCTTGCAAAAAATAAGGTAAAGTGGACATTCGCGCGCGCAAGACGAAATCCTTCCAAAAGCTTAGTGTTCGGAGCGATTTTAACATAAAAACATCAAAAAACCAATGGTTTTTCAACAAAAAAATGTCAAAATCTCATCCCGCGCGCTCTTGCGGATTCGTAGGAAACCCAACACTTTTTAAACATTTCTGTCAAACGGGCTTTTGCGAGCAACTTTTTCGAACTTCTGCGACAACGGTTGCGCACCTGCCAGGGCCATCATCCCTGTCAAATAATACCATGCGGGACACATTCGTTTTTTCTTCGCGCGCGCACGCCGTCGTCGTCGGCCGCGGGGCCCTGAATAGTAGCCACGGTCGTCCGCATGCCACGAAGTGAAGTGTCCGAACGTCATAGGGCGGGAAGCTGGGTGTGGGTGGTGGCGAAGAGTCGTTTGGAAATTTGGTAGAGCTTGAACCGGCCCCCCCACAAAGTGGGGGTATTGCCCGCCTCCTATGAAAACCCTGGCACTGGTGAGAACGGAGTGTCCCCACGTGCTAGTAATTGTTGTTGTTGTTGTTGTTGTTGTTGTTGTTGTTGTTGTTGTTGGTGTTGTGGTTGTTGTTGTTGTTGTTGTTGCTTCTGCTGCTGTTGTTGTTGTTGTTGTTGTTGTTGTTGTTGTTGTTGGTGTTGTCGTCGTTGTTGTTGTTGTTGCTGTTGTTGAATTGTTTAGTCGCAGTTGCTGCCTGTCTGCCGCCGCTGTGTGTCGTCGTGTAGTTCACCGTGCTTCGCAGTGGAACAAATTAGCCTGGCGAAGGACCCAACCATATGCAGTTGAGAGTACCGCAATTGTGAATATCTTCTTCGGTGGCGCTCCCTATGGGGCCACGAGCCGTATGAGGGGTGTGCCGAAATGCGTGGCAGTGTACACAACACGAACGAAGACGATAGGTCCGAATATGAAAGCTTGAGCGCGTGCGAGTCGGATCGCGAGCGAGTCTGATTATGAATGAATCTGCGCGCGATTGATTCTATTCGCATGAATGCGTGCATGGATACGCCCAGTGTAAATGTATGTATACGACTGTGAACAGTTTGGGTCTGCGTGACTCTCGGTACTCGTGGCTCTGAGCGTCGCCTCTGCAGGGGGCTTCCCTGGGAACCCCGACGGCAGCGCCCGCGCGCCACGACGCCCATGTCGACACGCCACACACGAGGATCGCGCTCGCTTCCTCCCCTCATTTTTTCCATCTCCTTTGCCCGCGCACTCCAAAGACCAAGGCTGCGGGCGCAGCGCAAGGCGGAGCCCCCGCGACGCGCGCAGGTCGCCCCGAAGGGGTCGCAGTGACGCGCGCGGTTCGTCCGCTGAGCGGATCAGAGAGTGATTGCTGGCTGACTCGTAGCGCGCATGGCTCTGGCCGCCAGGCAGAGCGACGAGGGGCGGGCGAGGCGCTGGGCAGAGCGCAATGCGGAGTTTGCGCGACGCGCGCTGATCGCCCCGAGAGGGTCAAAGCGACGCGCGCGAGTCGTCCGCGGCGCGAGGCCAAGCAGTCGGACAGCCAAGAGAAGGCGCGGCTGGGGCGGGCCGCTCCTCAGGTCAGGCCTCGCGGATAAACTCTGTGAAGCCGAGCTCCCTGGCGAGGGCCGTCGCCTCCCTACTGCGCCGCTTCGTGCGCGCCGCAAACTGCTCCAGCTGCTTACGCAAGCCCTCCGGCGGCCCGGCCAGGAAGAACTCGATGCGCGGCGCCCGCATGAGCAGGAGGTCCTCGTGGCCGGGGGCCGCGTATTGAAACAAAATCATGACATCGGATGTCTGGGGAGGTGGAGCGGCAGCAGCAGGAGGGGAGGTTCTCAGTGATTCTTGGGAACGACAGGGCTGTTTTTGTTCCTTTCGTGTTGCGGTTTTTTTTCCGAACTGGGTGTGGGTGACGCATGCGGGCGGCGGCACTGGGGCCTTCGGTGGAGCTCCCTATGGGGCCACGAAGCGTGTGAGGTGTGTGTGCCGAATTGGGCTTAGGTGACGCATGCGGGCGGCAGCACTTGGGCCTTCGGTGGAGCTCCCTGTGGGGCCACGAAACGTGTGAGGGGTGTGCCGAAATGGGTGTGCGGGACGCATGCGGGCGGCGGCGCTGGGGCCTTCGGTGACGCTCCCTGTGGGGCCACGAAACGTGTGAGGGGTGTGCCGAAATGAGTGGCGGGGACGCATGCGGACTGCGCCACTGGGACCTTCGGCGGAGCTCCCTGTGGGGCCACGAAACGTGTGAGGGGTGTGCCGAAATGGGTGTGCGGGACGCATGCGGACGGCAGCACTGGGGCCTTCGGTGGAGCTCCCTGTGGGGCCACGAAACGTGTGAGGGGTGTGCCGAAATGGGTGTGCGGGACGCATGCGGACGGCAGCCATGGGGCCTTCGGTGGAGCTCCCTATGGGGCCACGAAACGTGTGAGGGGTGTGCCGAAATGGGTGTGCGGGACGCATGCGGACGGCAGCACTGGGGCCTTCGGTGGAGCTCCCTATGGGGCCACGAAACGTGTGAGGGGTGTGCCGAAATGGGTGTGCGGGACGCATGCGGACGGCAGCCATGGGGCCTTCGGTGGAGCTCCCTATGGGGCCACGGAACGTGTGAGGGGTGTGCCGAAATGGGTGTAGGGGACGCATGCGGGCGGCAGCCCTCGGGCCTTCTGTGGAGCTCCCTATGGGGCCACGAAACGTGTGAGGGGTGTGCCGAAGTGGGTGATGACGATGACGACGATGACAATGACGATGATGATGATGATGGTGATGACGATGATGATGATGACGATGATGATGATGATGATGATGATGATGATGATGATGATGATGGGAGGAGGGAGGAGGGGGAGGAGAAAGGAGGAGGAGGAGGTGGGACGCGGGGCGCTGTCTCTTCAAAACGAGGACCCAACACCACAGGATGGTTGGGAAAAACAGGATCGAGGTCGGTGCGGGGAGAGTGCCCTAATGTCCTTCGTGCTTGCTGGGTGTTCTTGTGCATCCCGGGGGAGGGTACACTCGAGTGCTCTTCATGCTGGCTGGCGGAGGAGCATGTTCTTGAAGGATGTTCTTCTGTCCTAGGTCCGATCGTAGTTGAGACGCCGCTCACTGCCGCCATTTTGTCGCATGAGCTACTCCCAGCGTTGTAGTTGCCGATGTGTCGCTCACTGCCCGCCTTCTCGCAGTGACAGAAACTGTATCTGCCTTCGTTCGTGCCCGAGCTTCCCCCGACAGTGTAGCTGATGGGGCTTAGCCCTGGGTGCGCTGCTCCGTTCGTGGGCACCGGCAGACCGCTGCAACTGCCCACTTTTTTGCACCTGCTGCCACTGCCTGTCGCCCTGTACGAGCTGATCCTAGCAGTGTAGCGGGTGATACTAGGCGGCACCTTCACCCGGAGGCACCGACAGACCTTGCTGCCATTGCCCGCATGTTTTCGCGTCTTTGCCTGCACGCTTGCAGCGGCGCCGTGGTGCCTGGCGCTGCTGCTCTCCAGGAGGATGTCGAGAAGGTTGATGGGACAAAGGGGGAGGACGGGGAGGCGGGGGAGAAAGACTCATAGCGGCCGCGCTCGCGCCTGGCTTCAGCGTGGTAAGTGATGGTGTTGGGCACCTCGCTTCTTGATGGTGGTTCCTGTGCGCATGGCCACTCCGAAGTCGGCGCGCAGACCGCCCTCGCGCGCCCCGAGCAGGGTGGGCCGCTTGGGCGCCGAATGGATAGGAAGAGAAGGAGGAGGACTAAGGTGAGGAGAAAGCGAGGCGGAGGAGGAGGAGCTGGGACCAGTGTAAACCCAAGAGCCATCAACGATGTTGGAATACACCCTCCCTCCAAGCTCCCTCTTCATAGGTCCCTACAACGGTTTATTTCCATTGATGGAACTGCCTCGTTGGAAGACACCCTTTTGAAGACCCTCAAGCATGCCAAAACATTGTTCTCGGGATTCCAACGCCACGGATCAACCTGACTGTTGCGTCTTGACGATCCTAGGTTGTGCCAGAACGCCTTTCTTGGGATTTCAACACCGCGAATCAACGTAACTGCTGCACTCGCAAAATCCTGAACCCTTCCGAAACATCTTCCCTGGTACGTTGATCGTGGGAACCCGCGAAACTCTGGTAAATGTTATAAACAAATGTGCGCGGAGCTTAGGCGAGAGTCACATTTTGAAAAGCAACCGCCCTCAACCCGTGAAACTCTTGCAAATGTTTAAAACGAATGTGCGCAGCGCTAAGGTGGGCGCCACATTTTGAAAACAGGTTGTCGCCAATCCGTGAAATTCTTACAAGCTTTTAGAACGAATGTCCGCGGCGCTAAGGCGGGAGCCACATTTTGAAAACGGGTCGCCCTCAACCCGTGGACTTTGATTTTTAGGACGAATATGCGCGGTGCTAAGGCGGGAGCCGCATTTTGAAAACCTCCAGGCCTCCATCTGTGAAGCTGTTGTCACTTTTGAAGCTTCAGAGTCATGAGTGGCGAGGAAGTCTCAGGCGAAACACCCGGCCCGCCCTAGAAAACTGGCCTCGGGGTGCGACAGGCAGAAGCTCTTTGTAAGGAAAAGGAATGGAGGAGGGAGGAGCAGCAGCAGCAGCAGCAGGAGGATCGCGGCCACTCGCGAGGCCCGCGCGCCGCGGGCGGGCAGCCCACCCCGCGGCCCGCTCGACCCGCAGAGCCTGGCGGCCCGCCAGGCGCTCGCGGCCGACGCGCAGCACGCCAGCAGCGCCGACGACGACGACGACGGCGGCGGTGGCGGCGGCGGCAAAGACGACGACGACGACGACGACAACGACGACGGCGGCGGCGGCGACGACGACGACGACGTCAGCGGCGGCGGTGTGAAGACGACGACGACGTCGGCGGCGGCGGTGTGAAGACGACGACGAAGACGACGACGACGACGACGATTGCGACGACGACGACGACGACGACGACGGCGGCGACGACGACGGCGTCTGCGGACAGGCGATCGCGGCCGACCCGCGGCACGCCAGCAGCGCTGACGTCTGCATCCCGGTGCTGGTGCCGAGGCTCGGAGGGCGCTGGCCTGCCCAGAGGAGGAGGAGGAGGAGGAGGAGGAGGAGGAGGAGGAGGAGGAGGAGAGGGATGAGGAGAAGGAGGGGGAGGAGGAGGAGGAGGAGGAGGAGGAGGAGGAGGAGGAGGAGGAGGAGGAGGAGGAGGAGGAGGACGAGGAGGAGGGGAACGAGGAGGAGGAGGACGAGGAGGAGGAGAAGGAGGAGGACCCAGACCCCCTCGGGTCATGAACAAATCGTGACGGGAGGTTTCTCTGCATTTTGGCCTCTCGGGGCCATTGCCAGGCCTCGGGACCGTCAAACAACGATTCAGGATACAAGAACGGTCCCAGATCTCTGAGGGTCGACGTTATTAAAAAAATCATGACGTCCAGGGTATGGGGAGGAGGAGGAGGAGGAGGAAGAGGAGGAGGAGGAGGAGGAGGAGGAGGAGGAGGAGGAGGAGGAGGAGGAGGAGGAGTAGGAGTAAGAGTAGGAGTCAAGCTAGCCAGCTCGAGCAAGTCAAGCATGGCATGCCCATTCCCACCAGCCCTCCCACAACATAAGAAACAGTGCTGGCGCAACTGGGGACTGAAGTCAGATCGGCAAGGTGGTTCGCCACAGCTGATGCAGCCGCGATGGCGGTTACCGATAAGAGATCCCTGGCGCGTCTCAAAGACTGCGCTGTTATTTCAGCACGAGCCGAGGAGGCCCCAGGAAGCCTGGGGCCTCAGGAGAAGCCCCAGCGACCCCCAGGAAGCCTCAGGAGGGAGGGCCCAGGAAGCCCCAGGTAATTCCAGGAGGCTTCAGGAAGCCCTAGGAAGTGTCAGGAAGCCCCTCGGGAATCCCAGGAAGCCCCAGGATGTCTCAGAAGGCTCCAAGAGGATCCACGAGGCCCTGGGGAAGCCCCGGGAAACCCCAGGATGTCCCAGGATGTCCCAGGAGACCCTGGAAGGCCCCAGGGGGCCCTAGGCGCTTGACGAATTGGCGAGCGAACAATGTGCGCCGCGCCTTAGCGGGGGCTCAACTTTCAGAAAGCATGCGCGCGGCGCCGAAGCGAGAGCGACATTTCGCCCTGTCGCGCGCGATGTGCACCGCGCCCCCTTCCTGCCACGCGTTTCGCAAAACCGACGACAAGAAAACCCCCACTGAGAAGAAACATTCGAATTAGTATGGTTCTTGATAGGTCGGATAGCCCCTCCCGCTTGGGGTTGCCCCAAACGTCCGCGCGCGATGTGCGCCGCGTCCCATTCCTGCTACGCATTTCGCATCGTCGACGACAAGAAAGGCCATGTTGAGAGAAAAACGACGACTTTGTATAGATGTTACAGTTCGGGTGGGAGGGCCCGGATTGACGGCCGCGCGCGATGTGCGCCGCGTCTTATTCCTGCTACGCATCTCGCAATGACGTCGACAATCAAGCCCATGTTGAGAGAATAACAGCAACTTGGTACGGATTTGTTACAGTTAGGATGGGAGAGCCCGGATGGAACCCCTATCTGTCGGCCAGAGGGAGGAATCATGATAGGAGGAGGAGGATGAGGAGGAGGAGCAGGAGGAGGAGGAGGAGGAGGAGGAGGAGGAGGAGGAGGAGGAGGAGGAGCTGGAGGAACAGGTACCTGTACTGCTACCCTTGCCCCGCGTTGGCCCTTTTGGGTCTCCTGGGAGGCCCTCGTCGCCACGGCTGGATTTGCTTCGAAAGTCTGAACAGAGCGTGTTCCTCCTCCTCATCATCCTCCTCCTCCTCCTGTGCGCTGTGAGCTGGTGGCTATTGTGTCTCTTAGACGCAGCCATCCCATCCCCCCAGTGGCGATTGCACCCAGGAGAGGTTAATCGTTGTCGAACAAAGGGGATGACGCGACAGCAGACCCCCCCAAGGGGAGGGCAGCTATGTCTCCCTGCACCTTGGTACGGGAGGGCTCACGAGCATCAATACTCTCGGCGGTGGAGGATGGAGGTGTGTGGCAGAAAAGCACTGGCAGCAGTGACGAGCGTTGCGACGGTAGCGTATAGTGGCCACTCTCGCCCACATGGGATGACGCAAGGGCCTCTCCCCTGCCACCAAGATAAAACCCCGCACACCCCACCGCCAGTCCAACCAAAAGGAGCCTCTCTCCTGCCCCGCGGCAGGCGAAGGGCTCGCAGGGTTCTGGAACGCTCTTCCGAAACGCTGTCAGAGCGTTCCAGAACTCTTCTCAGAAGGCCGTGAGGCCGGCGAGGGCGACTCCTCCTCCTCCTCCTCCTTCTCCTCCTCCTTCTCCTCCCCCTTCCCCTCCTCCTCCTCCTCCTCCTCCTCCTCCTCCTCCTCCTCCTCCTCCTCCTCCTCCTCCTCCCCGTACTCCTCCTCCTCCTCCCCCTCCTTCTCCTCCTCCTCCTCCTGCACCCCCTCCCCCTTCTCCTCTTCCTCCTGCTCCTCCTCCTCCTCCTCCTCCCCTCCTCCTCCTCCCCGTCCTCCTCCTCCTCCTCCTCCTCCTCCTCCTTCTCCTCCTCCTCCTCCTCCTCCTCCTCCTCCTTCCCCTCCTCCTCCTCCTCCTCCTCCTCCTCCTCCTCCTCCCCCTCCTCCTCCGCCTCCCCGTCCTCCTCCTCCTCCCCGTCCTCCTCCTCCTCCTCCTCCTCCTCCTCCTCCTCCTCCTCCTCCTCCTCCTCTCCGTTACATCCTCCCCGACACATCCTCCAGAGCCTCCGGATCGACCTAGCCTCACCCGATGCTAGCCTCGTCCTGGCTTCGTCGTCTCGGGATAGCTCTGGGGCCGCGGACACACGGCAGCATCACACCGGAGGGGGCCTGTCGGGGTTTGCTCGCTCCTGCGCACCGGTCCTGGCCCGTGGCCGAGGCCGTGGGATCTGGGCGCCGCGATTTTTGCATGATGGGCCAGTTTTCCACCTCCACCACCATAAGTTGGATGGGGAAGGAGGTGGAGGACGAGGAGGAGGAGGACGAAGAGGAGGAGGAGTAGGAGGAGTAGGAGGAGGAGAAGGAGGGAGGAGAGGAGGAGTAGGAGGAGGAAGAGTAGGGGTAGGAGGAGGAGGAGGAGGAGGAGGAGGAGGAGGAGGAGGAGGAGGAGGAGGAGGAGGAGGAGGAGGAGGAGGAGGAGGAGGAGGAGGAGGAGGAGGAGGACCTCCTCCCCCCTCCAACTTATGGTGGTGGTTGTGGAAAACAGGCCCATCGTTGCACGCCATGCGTTGTTGTCGCCTTGTTTCGGGTCCCGCCCTCCATCCTTGAAGCTGCGAGTGGTGAGGGAGTCTCGGGCGAAACGCCCAGCTCACCCTACAGAGGACTCAGGGGCATCACCCAGGGCCACCACGAGGGTGCGAAGTTGGTCGCGCTTCGCGGTCTGGGCGATTTCAGGGCGAGGCGCGAGTCCCTCATCCTGTTCTGGGGGTGGCGTCTGCGCGAGAGCAAGAATCTACTCGCGCTTGGGCTTCGTGCTTCGCGGAGCGCGAAGCGCGAGGATAGCTGCCCCCTGGATCACAGATCGATCCGGCTCGAGAAGCAAGCCGCAGACCTGGGGCCCAGGGCTGCCGTCGTGATTTGTTCGCGATGCGGCGATTCTTTGTCGCAATGTCGGCTCTCCAGACCCCCGACGTCGTGTTTTTTTCATAGCGTCGACCCCCAGAGGTCTGAACCCCTTCCCAGGGACCGGTTCTTCATCCCCAGTCGTGTTCTGACGGTCCGGGGGCCCGGTAAGGGTCCCCAGAGGCCGGAAATAGCGAAAAACTTCCCGTCGTGCTTTTCTCTGAACGCGAGGGGGTTTGCCAGCCACGCGCAGAGGGGGGTAGGGGGAGGCGGGGAGGGCTTCTGAGAAGCACCCCTGCTTCTTAGAAGGCGCGGGCCTCATCTATAGATGCAAGGCCGGCACCTTCTAAGAAACAGCATCCTCTAAGATTAGGTCGGGCGTGTCCCTCAAAAGATAATCAGGGAACGATGTTTGGACTATGTTTGGCTATTTCTTGTATTTTTTGACTCTGCTTCATTTTTCTGCCAAAATCCGCCTGTGGGGGGTCATGCCCGACCTAATTTTAAAAAGCCCTCCCCCCTCCCTCTATACCTCGGGGGTGGACACAACCCCCACCCTGACACTAGTGAATTGTCTGCTTTCGGTTCTCGAGAGGGCACCGCGGCCGTCATTTCCCAGGCTTGCCCCCGCCAGGTTTGGGCCCGAGGTCGTTTTCACTAAACCACGTTTTACTGAAGGTGGTTCTGCAGGGCTCGTTTCGACTCCTCCGATTCGATTCGATTCGATTTCGATGGCTTCCGATTCCGATTCGATTCGACTTGGGATTCCGATTCGGATTCCGACTTCTTATGGGACGCATAGTAGCCTGCCGATTTCCGCCGATCCGACTTTTCCCGACTCGGCTGCCGATTTCCGCCGATCCGATTCATTTCGATCGCCGATCCGACTTATCGATTCGATTATGGGCTCTCCTGGTTCTGTCCATCTCCGATATACACACCCCTGGGCGCGCCGCCAGGAGGGGCCCCGGCTCGGGGTCGGTGTGCGGGTAGGGGCGGGTGCGGCTGGCGTCCCTCCCGGTGAGGCGCTTCGCCTACAGCATCTGGGAGCCCGAAGGGGGGGCAGAATACCGACGGCGTTCGGCCACGTGCAGAGGGGGGGGAGAGGCGGAAAGGCTTCTCACCCAGACATGATCGCGTTTTTTTTAATCAGGGCGGGAGGTTTTTGCCAGTTTTCGGCCTCGGGGGGCCCTCGCCGGTCCTCGGGACCGTCAAAAAACGATTCGGGATCAAAAACCGGTCCCGGGGAAAGGGTCGGGACTTCCAGGGACGCCGTCCTGAAAAAGTCAGGACGACGCATGTGTCTGGGTAGAAGCACCCCTGCTTCTTCGAAGGCGCGGGCCTTCTCTACAGATGTAGGGCCTGCGCCTTCTAAGAAGCGGCCTCCTTCTAAGAAGCCATCCCCTCTAGGCCTCCTAGATGGGGTCCGAGTGGAGGGGGCCGGGGGATCGCGCCGTATTGTCGAACCATCGGCGATGCAGTTCGATGTGGAGCCCGATTCTATCCACGCTGGCGTCGCCGATTCATCGCCGACGCGTCGTCGATGCACCGGCGATGTATCGCCGAGGTATCGGCGATGCGGCGCAATCCTCCGACCCCATCTACTCCGCCCCTGCATAGGAGGCCTCTAATCCTCCCGTTTTTTTGCCTCCCGGGCCTGCTGTCGGCACGACCGACACCCAGACCCCCTCGCGAGTCATAAAAAAAGTCATGGCGGGAGGTTTTCCAATGTTTTCGGCGCCTCGGGGCCCTCACCGGGCCTCGGGATCGTCAAAAAACGACTCGGGAGGAAAAACTGTTCCCATGGAAGGGGTCCAGTCCTCTGGGGGTCGACGTCACATGAAAAATCATGACGTCAGGGGCCTGGGGATGAGTAATTACACACCGGTCGTTGAAGGCAGGCATTCCTGGACTCCCAGATCCCAGTCTGCTTCTGGCGCCTTCCTGCCTCGAGAGTCTGGCGGCTTTCCCTCTCCCCTCCTCTTCGGGGGGCGGGCGGGAACCCAGTGTGCTTCCAACGCCTTCCGACTTCGTGTTTCTGCCCGCTTCTTCCGACCGACGAGTAGTACGGAAAGAATTGGGGACGGAGCTCCACAGGAGTTCCTTTCTCCATTGGGAACAGGTCTCGCTGTCGGTGTCGCCTCTGAAGTTGCCCACATCGGACAATAAAGTCGCCTGCCCATCAGCGGCCGCTGTTGGCTTTGAGCAGCATTTGCTATTGGGCATGGTGCCCTGTCTGTCCGCACCCATTCAGCCAGCGCGCCTAGTAACGACGCGCACCATCATCCAGGGCGCCCTTGCGCCCCCGCCTCTGCGGCCCGTCCTCTGCTGTTTTCACTGGTCGCCAGCCGCCCCCCCCAAAACATCCCAGCGTCGGCCTCCAGGGGTCCTGTGTCCTCACCGCCCGTCCTTGGTGCACTTTTCCGTCGGCACCTCGGCAGAAGAGCTGCACCAGCGATGAGCGAACGGGCCCCCTCCCCTCCCTCTCTTCCTCCCCCTCCCCCTGCCGCCCCCCCCCCCGTCCTTGATGCACGGTTGGATCGCATTTGCCGTGGGGAGGCGGCATGGTGCCCTTGCTGCCCGTACCCATGCCGGGCGTGCCCATTCGGGGGGGGGGGCCCTCGCCGCCGCGGCCAGGCTGGCCTCGGCGTCCCCCGCCCCCGCGCGAGAGGCGAGAGCCCAGTCTTCCGACGTCCTGTTTTTTTTTGTTGTTTCGCAGCGTGGGCCCCCAGAGGTCTGGACCCCGTCCCCCGGGACCGGCTTCTCATCCCGAAGCGTTGCTGTTCCCCATGCCTTGAGATGGGGCTCTTGTTGTCCCTCTCACCGCGCTGGAGAACACCACCTCCTCTTCATTCCTCCTCTTCCTCTTGACTCAACACACTCAGGCTCACTCACACTCAGACGCACTCAAAACGCATTGCATTCATCCTTCAGATCCAACTCAGACTCACTCATGCTCACAATCACTCTCACACACAGACTGTGAGGATGTCTGAGGCGAGGCGCTGGTTTCAGCGCTCCCAGGGGGGGTGGCAGCGGGGCCTTGCCACGGGCCCGTTCGCGCCCAGTCTGTGGGGATGTCTCCGGCGGCTTGCCTGCTTGCGTGCCGACATCCTGTGCGGTCGGCGCAGTTCGTGAGGATGCCTCGGAGGAGGCGCTGGTTTCAGCGCCCCCAGGCGCCCCCACACTGCGAGGATGTTTCGGGCGGTCTGCTTGCTTTCGGGCGAGGCGACCCAGGGGCCCGCGGGAGGCCCCTCCACTGGGACTCGAATCCTCCTATAGATTGCCCCTCCACCTGCGGTTCGACTCCTGCGCGTTTTACGTGCGTTTCCCAAGGGGCCCGGGTCGCCATGAGGTCTATCAGGCGGTTTGCCTGTGTCGGTGAGGCCCCAGGAAGCCCCAGGCAGGACCAGGAGGTCCCAGGAGGCCCCAGGAGGCTCCAGGAGGCCCCAGGAGGGCCCAGAAGCGGGATGTCCCAGGAGGCCCCAGGAGGCCCCAGGAGGACACGGGAGGCCCCAGGAAGCTCCGGCAGGCACGAGGAGTGCCCCAGGAGGCCCCAGGAGGCCATAGGGGGGGCCTCATGGGTCTCGAGTCCTGGGCGTCTTATGCGTGTTCCTATACATTGCCGCTCTCCTGGAGCTCGAAACCTGCGTGTGTGTGTGTGTGTGTGTGTGTGTGTGTGTGTGTGTGTGTGTGTGTTACGCATACTCCTATTCATTGCCTCTTCTCCTGGGGCTGGAATCCTAATCGTTTTGCGCATGTCCCTGTACATGGCCCTTCTCCTGGGGCTCGAATCCTACGTGTGTTACGTATGCTCCTCTCTCTATATATTTATGTATTGCCCCCTCTCCTGAGACTCGAAGCTTACGCGCTTTCCGAATATTCATATATATATATATATATATATATATATATATATATATTGCCCCTCTCCTGGGGCTCGAGTCCTACAACTAGAACGGCATGCCTGGACGGCATGCCCAGCCTCAGCCTCGCAGACCTACGTTAAAATCATGTGTTCGAATTCCTAGTTTTGTTCCATACCAAACCTAGTCAAAAAATGGCGATGTGTATGACATCGTCGTGCTGTTGGTTGTGCTGGTGGTTGTGCGAGTGGTTGCGGCGGTGGTTGTGCGGGTGGCTGTGCTGGTAGTTGCGATGGTGGTTGTGTTAGTGGTTGTGCGGGTGGTTGTGCTGGTGGTTGTGCTGGTGGTTGTGCTGGTGGTGGCTGTGCGGGTGACCGTGCTTCTGGTTGCGCTGGTGGTTGCGCTGGTGGTAGTGCTGGTGGTTTTGCTAGTGGTTACGTTGGTGGTTGTGCTGGTGGTTGTGCTTGTGGTTGCGGCGGTGGTTGCGTTGGTGGTTGTGCTGGCGGTTGTGCGGGTGGTCGCGGTGGTGGTTGTGCCGTTGTCGGTGTTGGCGGAAGTGTTGGTGATTCTGCAAGTGGTTGTACGGGTGGTCGTGCTGGTGTGCTGGTGTTTGTGCGGGTGGTTGCGCTGGTGGTTGTGCTCGATGTTTTGCTGCTGGTGGTTGCGTCGGTGGTTGTGGTGGTGGTTGTGTTGGTGGTTGTGTTGGTGGTTGTGTTGGTGGTTGTGCTCGATGTTTTGCTGCTGTTGCTTGCGTCGGTGGTTGTGGTGGTGGTTGTGTTGGTGGTTGTGCTGGTGGTTGTGCTCGATGTTTTGCTGCTGGTGGTTGCGTCGGTGGTTGTGCTAGTGGTTGTGCTAATGGTTGTGCTGGTGTTCGTGCTGGTGGTTGTGATGGTGGTTGTGCTGGTGGTTGTGCTGGTGAGCGCTACCACCATCATAACCACCAGCACAGCAACCCGCAGCGCAACCACAAGCACAACCACCAGGAAAACCACCAGCGCAAGCACTCGCACAACCACCAGCACAACGTAACCCACCCGCACTACCACCAGCATCACCACCATCACAACCACCAGCACAACCACCAGCTTAACCACCACCAGCGCAACCACCTGTACAACCACCAGCTCAACTGCCAGCACAACCACCACGACAACCACCAGCAGAACCACCAGCACAACCACCCGCACAACCACTCGAACAATCACCACCAGCAGAACCACCAGCACTAGGCAAGCACAACCACCAGTAAACCACCAGCACGACCACTAGCACGACCGCCATCACAACTATCTGCACAACCATCTGCACAATCACCGCCAGCACAACAACCCGCACCACCATCAGAACAACCACCCGCACAGCCACCAGGACGACCACCCGCGCAACCGCGCAACCACCAGCACGACTGCCAGCAAGACCACCAGCACCATCATCCGCACAACCACCCGCATGACCACCAGCACAAGCATTAGCACAACCACCAGGACAACCACTCGTACAACCACCACCATCAGAACTACCAGACCACCACCGGCGCGACCACCCGCACGATCACCAGCACAACCACAGGCACAGCTACCAGCACAACCACCATCACAACCACTCGCACAACCACCAGCACAACCACCAGCAGCGCAACCACACGCACAATCACCAGCACAACCACCAACACAACCAACAGCACAACCACCCGCACAACCACCAGCGCAACCACCAGCCCAACCACCACCAGAGCAACCACCAGCACAACCACCCGCACGACAACCAGCGACCACCAGCGAGATCACCAGCACAACCACCGGCACAACCAGCAGCACAACCACCCGCACGACCACCAGCATAGACACCAGCACAACAACCAGCACAACCACCAGCACAACCAAAAGCGCAACCACAACCACCAGCACGACAACCAGCAACCACCAGCAAGATTACCAGCACAACCACCCGCACAACCACCAGCACGACTGCCAATCCAATCACCAGCACAACCACCCGCACAACCACCAGCGCAACCACCAGCCCAACCACCACCAGCGCAACCACAAGCGCAACCACCAACACAATCACCACCAGCGTAACCACCAGCAAAACCACCGGCACAACCACCAGCACAGCCACCAGCACAACCACCAGCATTACCACTCGCACAACCACCCGCGCAACCACCCGCACAACCACCAGCACAACAACCCGCACGACAACCAGCAACCACCAGCATGAGCACCAGAATTACCACTCGCACAACCACCCGCGCAACCACCCGCACAACCACCAGCACAACAACCCGCACGACAACCAGCAACCACCAGCATGAGCACCAGAATTGCCACTGGCACAAGCACCACCAGCGCAGCCATCAGCACAACCACCCGCACAACCACCAGCGTGACCACCAGCACAAACACTACCGGCACAACCAGAAGCACAACCATCGGAAAAAACAGCAGCGCAACCATCAGCGCAACCACCAGCACAACCACCAGCAGCGCAACCACCCGCACAACCACCAGCAAAACCGCCAGCGTAACCAGTGGCGGTAATCCCTTGCAACACTAGGAGTGCGATGCCGAGCGCACCCACAACATTTCGTGGTGCTTCATCCTGCTAACAATTTTTTGTTTGTTTCATGCCGCGTCTCTGCGCCTTTTCTAGTTTATTATATTCCTAGTTTTATTTTCGGCCACGCCGCGGAGCCGGGATGTATACGCAACAACTTAGAAGTTTAAATTCTTTGCTTGTTTTTTATCTTTGTTTCTGAATGTTGCTTTTTTTCTGAGGCTTGAATCCAAAGTGAATCATTCCCGTCCCTGTAGAGTGCCCTTCTCCTGGGGCTCGGGTTCTCCGTGTTATGCGCACGTATACATATGACAGCGCACCGGGGCCTGGGCCCCTGGGGCCGCGACCTCTACCGCAAATGTGTGTATGTGTGTGTGTGTGTGTGTGCGTGCAAGTGCAAGTGCAGGGGCCCGAGCCCGCCTATGGGAGGCCTAAAATCGCTCCGACGCCCCAAGAGGCCTTTAAGATGCCGCCCATGACCGCCCCGAGAGGGCAACACGTTTTTCTAGTGTTTGCATTATCGCTGTTTCGTGTTTCCGCCGCCAAAGCACCACCCAAGAGGCTCCCAAGACCGCTCCAAGACGGCACAAGAGGGCCCCAAGACGGCTCAAGAGAGCCCCGAGACGGCCCCAGAGCCGCCCAAGACGGCGCAAAAGGGCCCCAAGAAGGCCCCAAGAGGGGCCCCAGAGAGGGAACGCGAACTGACAAATCAAGCTCTCCGCCCCAAGATGCCCCCAATCGGCCCCAAGAGGCCCCCAGGAAGCCCCCAAGAGGCCCCAAGAGGCCCCCAAGAGGTCCCAAGAGGCCCCCAAGAAGCCCAACAGAGGCTCCAAGAGGCCCAAAGACGACATCCAAAAGGTTTCAAAACTCTTTCTAAGAGGCCCCCGAAAACATGCCAAGAAGGTCCCATGACGACTTCAGGAAACAGTCCAGGATGCTCCGAGGAGGCCCCAAGAGGCCCCCAGGAGAGCCCAAGAGGCCCCCAAGAGGCCCCCAAGAGGCCCCCAAGCGGCCCCAAGCAGCACCCAGGAGGCCGGAAAGAGGCACCCAAGAGCCCAGCGGTCCAGGCGGGGGCCGAACGAACATTTCCAGCCCTGGGCTCCCGGAAGCCCAACAGGAAGCCCCACGTAACTCGCAAGACCCCCCCCCCACACGCTCCAGAGACGCCCAAAAGTCTTCCCAGACAGCCCAAGATGCAAAGAGAAACTGCGATGCCCAGGAGTGCGTTTGGACAATAATTTCGAGACGAAGCCAGCCTTGGCCACGAAGAGCGTCTCGGACGACAGACGACGACGCAGACGACGGACGAAGGACGACGGACGAAGGACGCAATCGTGGCTAATTCGACCAGGTTGCCTGCCACTGCTGACCTCTTCTCTTCCCTCTGCTACGCGCGATCCTTCAGGCTAGCTAGAACTTGAGCGCGCGCGAAGCGCGCGCGATGGTTCTAGTTCCTATAAGTTGTCCTTCTCCTGGGGCTCGAGTCTTTGGTGTGCTTACGTATGTTCCTGTATTTTGCCCCTGTCCTGGGACTCGAATCCTAGGTGTTGCACATCTGTTCCGATAGATTGCCCCTCCTGCTGCGGCTCGACTCCTGCGCGTTTTACGTATGTTTCCCAAAGAGCCCGGGTCGCCATGAGGTCTCAGGCGGTTTGCCTGTGTCGGTGAGGCCCCAGGAAACCCCAGGCGGGACCAGGAAGCCCCAGGAGGCCCCAGGAGGCTCCAGGAGGCCCCAGGAGGGACAAGGAAGCCCCAGGAGGCCCCGGGAGGCCCCAGGAGGCCGGCCCCAGGAGGACACATGAGGCCCCGGGAAGCTCCACGGGAGGCCCCCAGGAGGCCCCAGGAGGCCCCAGGAAGCACCAGGAAGCTCCAGGGGGCCTCCGGGGGCTCGAATCCAAAGTGACGTACGCATGTTGCTATAGATTGCCAGTTTCCCGCGGATCGAATACTATGTGGTTTGCGAGCGCTCCTGTAGGGTCCCCCTCTCATGGGGGTCGAACCTACGCTCCTATAGATCACCCCTCTCCTGGGGTTCGAATCTTACGCGTTTTAGATCTATTCTTGTCTGTCGATGGCCCCTCTCCTGGAAATCGAACCCTGTGTCTGTGTGTGCTTGTGGGTTTCTGTTACGTGTGACCCTTTTCGCCCGTGAGCTGAAACTCAGATCCGCTGAGCCGAAGCTCACACTCAGACTCGCTCAGACCCAGACTCACACTCACAGTGGGACAGCTCGCACCTAGATGCAGCCAGACCACTCGCTCCGACCACTCACACTCAGACCACTCAGACACACTCAGACCTACACTCCAACACTCAGACCATTCACACTTGGATGCACTTACTCTAAGCTTCGCCAGACTGATGCATACACTTAGAACCACTCTCACCCAGACTCGCTCACACACATACTCACTCTCATTCAGACTCACCCGCTCTCAGCCTCTGTTACTCAGGCCCAGTCATGCCCAGAGTCTCGTACCCAAACGCTCGCAGAGGAAGAGGTCCAGGCAAATAGATCGGAGGTTGGGGGGTGAGATCGAAGTGGAATGGAGGGCCCCCCACCGTGAAATCGGTTTCGGTTTCGTGTTCGTGTCGTGCGTGCTGGCGAGGCGAAGCTGCGTGGGCGCGCGAGAGGAACGATGCCGCCGTGGCTAGGGGCTGTGGAGCCTATTGTCCGCCCCCCCCCCCTCCTGGCGCGCGGTGGCCCGGGGTGTCTCGTCGGTGGCGCGGGGGTGCCCCGTCGATGGCGCGGGGTGCCCCGTCGGTGGCGGGGTGCCCCGTCGGTGGCGCGGGGCTGCCCTGTCGGTGGCGAGGGGTGTCCCAACGGTGGCTCCGGGTGTCCCACCGTGGTGTCTCGATGGAAGCTCGTGAGATCAGTTGCTAGTTCGGTAGTGAAATCGATCGTGAGATCGATTGCGTGATCGTGAGATCGATCGAGAGATCGATAGTGAGATCGATAGCGAGATCGACCACAACCGATCTTCGGCTTGGGCGGCCCCGCGGTGGCTGGGGTGTGCCCCATCGTGGTGTCCCGATGGCGTCTCGTGAAAATCTCTTGTGAGGCCGATCGTGAGATTTCTTGTGAAGTCGATTTTAAGATCGATCATGAGATCGATAGTGAGATCGGTAGTGCGATCGTTATCGAGAGCGATAGTGAGATTGATGGTGAGATCGACTGTGAAATTCGTTGTGAGATTGATCGTGAGGTCTGGTGTGAGATCAGTGAGATCGATCGTGAGATCTGTTGTGATATCGATAGTGAGATTGATCGTGTTCCGATGGTGTCCCTTTGTGGTCCCGCCGGTGTCCCTAGTGTACTGAACACTCGCTGTGAATATTTAGTGAGATTTGTTGAGAGGTCGATCGTGATATCGGCAGTACGGTATATGGAGATACCGATAGTCCGATCGATAGTGAGATCGGTTGTGAGATCCATGCTGAGATCGACAGTGCAACCGGTCGCAAGCGCCGTCGATTGGAGTCTACTGCAAGGTCACATGCATGTGGTGTGTGCTCCATCGCGGCTGCATCGCCTTCATCACATCACCATCATGGGTCATTATCACCAAGAGCGTCATCGTGCAATGCCGTCATCTCATCGCCACACAGTCATCGCATCTGTTGTCAGGGGGCTATCCCTTCCCCTCCCAATCTCCTTATCGGTGCCGGGGCCCAACACTCATGGGGATGTCCGCGTCGAGTAGTTCACGGTGCCGGGGCCCAGTATGAGCCCCCCAGGGGACGGCATTGTCAAACACCGGCTCCGCCGCGATTGTTCCACGACGAGGAGAGGCGGGGGCACAGCGGCACCGGTATCCAAGTGTCCCCCTCCAGGAGCGCCACACTCCGGACCTGGAGGGCGCGGGGGTGGTCAGGGGCCCCTGCTGCGCCCGCCGGTCCGATCCCTATTTCGATGCTCGTTTGGGGGACCTTCCTGGGGCCCACCTAACGGATCTGTTCGACTCAGGTTCGACTCGAAGTAGATTCAGGTTCTACTCAGATTCGACTCAGAGTCGACTCAGACTCGACTCGGATTCGACTCAGGTTCGACTCAGACTCGACTCGGATTCGACTCAGGTTCGACTCAGGCTCGACTCAGGTTCGATGCAGCTTCGACGCAGCTTCGACTCACGAGTGGGGCGAGGGGCTCCAGGAAGGTCCCCGGAATGAGCATCTAACCCTGCCCACCCCCTCCTCCCGCTTCGCCTGCCCCGTTGGGCTCGGGGGTGTGGGTGGTTCACCAGGTGGGGGGCAGACGCATTAGTCCCCCCCCCAATCGCCCATTCATCGCCGATGGGGGTCCGAGAGCCCGTCCCTCCGAGGCAGGCGCGGGACTTGCTGTCGGGGGCCAATCACGCGGGGGTGGGTTCGGTGGCCCCCGAACGGTGCAGTGACCGCATCGTGCAGCGAGTCAGTGGGGACTCGGGGCGACCTCACTGTCGTGGGACTCGGGTCGTGCTCCCAGGACGTCTCGGGCGGCTGGGGCCTCCAGGGTTGCAGAGCCGTGACGGACCGTGTGGTGAGGTCTTTGGGGGCCCCGAGGTCCCCGCACAACGCACCTCTTCGGGACCCCCTCGAGGGTGAACGGGGGGAGGGGGGGGCGGGCGTGGGGTTGGGCTGGTGGCCGTAGCGAGGGCCTCCCAGTTGGCGGTGGGCTGCAATCGCTGGGGGGAGCGCCAGTGGCCCAGCAGGGACCTCTGGGTGGTGCAGCTGTCCAGGGAGGGCTCCGCGGCCCTGCGGGGCGCGGGCGGCCCCCGCGGCCGGCTGGACGCGGCGAGGGCGAGGCTGAAGCACCTGGAGGCCACGCTGGGGAGGAGCCACCCCTCCACCCTGGCCGCGATGAGCAGGCTGGCCTCGGTGCTGCAGGCGCTCGGGCGGCACCAGGAGGCCGAGGTCCTCTGCCGCTTCGTCCTGGAGGAGCGCCAGGCCGCCCTCGGCCCGGCCAGCCCGGACACCCTCGCGGCGCTGGACCAGCTCGGCATGCTGCTGCACGCCGCGGGCCACCGCGGCGAGGCGGAGCGGCTCGTGTCGGCCGCGCTGGAGGGCCGGGAGGCGCGCCTCGGGCCCGCGAGCCCCCGCACGCTGGCCTCGGCGGCCCACCTCGGCGCGGTGGTGCAGGCCGCGGGGCGGGCCGAGGAGGCGGAGGCGCTGCTGGCGCGCGCGCTGCGCGGCCGCGAGGCGAGGCTCGGGCCCCGCCACCGGGACACGCTGGCGTCGCTGGACGCGCTCGCGGCGCTGCTGCAGGGCGCGGGCCGGCACACGGAGGCGCTGCCGCTGAGCCGCCGGGCGCTGCAGGGGCGAGAGGCGGCCCTCGGGCGCCTGCACCCTTCGGAGAAGACAAGATAACGGTGCAAGCATAAACTTTCAACGCTCCGCGCGGTCTTCTTGGATCGGCGCATGGGGCCCCCCTGGCGGCGCCTCCGGCGCCGCCCCGGGCGCGCTCCGCGCGCCAGGGAGGGGGGGGGTCCAGCGCGGAGCCACGAAAGCCGCGCGGAGCGCCAAAGGTTTATGTTTATGCAGTTTTTTGTTCCTCTGCCCCAGAGACCTTGGCGTCGATGGACCGCACCGCGGCGCTGCTGGAGGCCTGCGGGGAACCGGCGGAGGCCGAGGCCGCGTGGCGGCGCGCAGTGGACCACAGGACGCAGCTGCTCGGCGGGTCGCACGCTGACACGCTGGCGTCTCTGAGCAGGCTGGCCTTGCTGATCCACCGGCGCGGCAAGCACCGCGAGGCGGAGTCGCTGCTCTACTGCGTCCTCGAGGGCAGAAGGGCCTCCCTGGGCCAGACGCACCCGCGCACCCTGGAGACGCTGGACCACCTTGGGGTGGTCCTGCAGGACGCGGGCAAGCAGGAGGAGGCGTACGCCCTGGTCTCCCAGGCGCACTTGGTGCGAGAGAGCGACCTGGGGCCTCACCACCCCGACACCCTCGGCTCGCTCCACGCCCTCGGCCTGCTGCTGGAGGCCATGGGGAGGTGCCAGGAGGCTCAGGAGATCCTGAAGCGCGTGCTGGAGGCGCGGGAGGAGATCCTCGGCCTTACGCACGCCGATACGCTGGCATCCCTGGACAAAGTCGCGGCCATGCTGCAGTCTGACGGGCACCACCAGGAGGCGGAGGCGCTGCTGTGGAAGCTGCTCGCGGGCCAGGAGGACGCGCGAGGCGCCAGGCACCCCGACACCCTGACCACGGCCAGCAGGCTAGGGGTGCTGCTGCAGGCGATGGGCAGGGCGCAGATGGCCGAGCCCGTCCACCGGCGCGCGCTGGAGGGGAGGCAGGCCGCCCTAGGGCCGGACCACCCGCAGACGCATGCGTCCCTGGGCCAGCTGGCCACGGTGCTGCACGCCCAGGGCCGCCACCGCGAGGCCCAGCCGCTCTACCGCGCGGCGCTCCGGGGGCGGGAGGAGGGCCTGGGCCCCGAGCATCCGCACACGATCACCTCGGCCAGCAACCTCGCGATGGTGCTGCAGGCCCTGGGCCACTTCGAGGAGTCCGAGCAGCTGTACCGCCGAGTGATCGAGGCCAGGACGCGGGCCCTGGGCCGCGCCCACCGCGACACGCTCGGGTCGCTGGACAACCTCGCGGCCCTGCTGCAGGCGGCGGGCAAGGCCGCCGAGGCGGAGCCTCTGCTGCGGGACGCGCTGGAGAGCCGCAGGGCTGCGCTGGGCCCCAAGCACCGCGACTCGCTCGCCTCGCTGGACGCGCTGGCGGCGCTGCTGCAGGTCCTCGGCCGGCCCGCAGAGGCAGAGCCGCTGTGCAGGCGGGCCCTCGAAGGCAGAGCGGGCTCGCTGGGCGAGGGCCACCCGGAGACGCTGACCTCCTGCGGCCGCCTGGGGGCAGTGCTGAAGGACCTCGGGCGCTACCGCGAGGCCGAGATCCTCGGCAGGAGGGCCCTCGCTGGCAGGGAGGCGGTGCTGGGGCCCTCGCACCAGGAGACGCTGACGTCGCTCAGCAAGCTCTCGTCGATCTTGGAGGCGCTCGGGATGCGCGAGGAGGCAGAGCGACTGTGCCGGAGGGCGCTGGAGGGCCGGGAGGCGAGCCTGGGCAGGGAGCACCCGAACACCCTCACGTCGCTCTGCAACCTGGGCTCGCTGCTCGCGGCGTCCGGGGCGCTCGTGGAGGCCGAGCGTCTGTGCCGCGAGGCGCTGGAAGGCCGGCGGCGGGTGCTGGGGACGGCGCACCCGGGCACGCTCTGCTCCATGGCGGCGCTGGGGCGCGTGATGTGCGAGGCGGGCAGGTGCGAGGAGGCCGAGGACCTGACCAGGCGGGCTATGGAGGGCCGCGAGCGGGCCCTGGGGCCCAAGCATCCCGACACCCTCGCGTCGGTGGACTCCCTGGCGGCGGTGTGCCAGGCGCGGGGCAGGCTGAGCGACGCAGAGGAGCTCTGCCGGCGGGCTCTGGAGGGCCGCGAGGTGTATGATGCTCCAACCTGCACTCTAGCCTTGATCACCAGAAAGAGTTTCGAGCACCAGGAACGTATCGAAGCAGGACGGTTTTCAAATGTCGGGCCCTGGGAGGCGATACTCGTTCGGCGCCTCGCCAGCGTGTGTCGGGCAGACAATGTTTCCATACCTGCTGGGGTGCTCGAAATGATATATTTCTGGGATGTGTTCCTTCAGTACGATGGAAACAACACATCGCGAGGTGGTCCTGGGGCCCCACCACCCGGACACGGCGCAGTCGTGCCACCGCCTGGTCGGTGTGCTCCGGGCGGCTGGCAGACGCGAGAGCGCGGAGGCGCTGCAGCAGGTAAGTAGGGGATCGACTACAGAATTGATTGACCCCCACAATTGATTCTTCCCATCGAATCCACGACAAATGCCCGGCACTGGCATAGACGATTCGTAGACTCGACGAGGAACTGAGCGTTGGGGTGAAGCCGTGTGGTAGCCGATCCCCTGCTCGAAGGTGGCCGAGGCGAGGGCCCGGAGCCGGCAGGCCCTGCAGGCAACCGAGGCCGACGAGGCGGTCCAGGAGCTCTGCTGAGAGCAGCGGCCGCGGCCTCTGCGGCCCTGCGGCGCCGCGGCGACCAGCGCGCGCCGCCTGCGGCGGGCGCTCGCCAGAGCGCGAGCGGCGGCGTCCGCGTGCGTGCTCTCTGCTGCTGGTGCTGCTGCGGCTGCTGCTGCTGCTCCTCGTCCTCCTCCTTTTCCTCCTCGTCGTCCTCCTCCTCCTCCTCCCCCTCCTCCTCCTCTTCCTCCTCCTCCTCCTCCTCCTCCTCCTCCTCATGGTTTCTGATTGCTGATGGTTGGAAAGAACCAGGAGGAGGAGGAGCAGGAGGAGACGAGGAGGAGGAGGAGGAGGGGGGGGAGGACCTGTCTCTTCCAGATCGAAGCTGATAGACGCACTTTCATACTAGGTTGTTTGTTGAGCTTCCCGAGGCCTCGGGGGACCTCCAGATCATCGTTGGGGTGCCTGCCCCAGGGCGGCTAGACGCTTCTCACCATCACCGTCGCCACCATCCTCTGCTTTCTGTCGTGCTATAGAAGACGCCTGGGGCGAATCACCACCGCCCCCTGCCTGTTGGAATAGCCCATGTGGCCGAGCGTTGTGGCAAGAGCTCTGCCAAGCTATCGGACCAATGTGTTCCCCCAGCCGTTGTGGAAACATTTCGGGAAACACTTGGGGGGGGATAGCCATGGCGGGGAGGAGGAGGAGGAGGAGGAGGAGGAGGGGGGAGGAGGTGCTACATGGTGGTTTTCGGCCCATTCCGCCGCCGTGTCTGGGTCGCGTACCAGAGGCGGCTTCTTTAGGAGGCACCCTTTGAGTTAGATCGGTCCCAGCAGGCTCCGTGATGCTTCGACCTGTGCTGCCGGTGCCATGCGCACCCGGTCGCGGTTGCCGCGCGAGAGCGACCTTGCACCAGGGGCCTTTGTCTTGGCATCGCTCGGGCGTGTGCATTTTTCCTCCTCGGCGAGGACCATCGAAGAGCATCCTGGACCACCGAGGAACCAAAATTCACGCACAAGACCGAAACACGCACGGGGAATGGACGTCCGAGCGATGGCAAGTTGTGGCCCGGCGCCAGGCAGGCGCTGCGGCTGTGGCACGAGCGGGCCATGCGACAGGCTCCGCCTCGGAGTCTTCATCTCGGCGAGCGTGGCGCGGCAAGCCGAGCGCCCCTGCACCGCCAGTTGAGCCCGATGAGCGTGGGACCGTCATCATCCTCGTCATCCTCCCATGAAGTCGAGATCCTCAGCATCCTCATTATCCTCATCGCTTGCAGGAGGGAAGCAACGCCGACAAGACCGAGAAGCTTGCGATCGGGGACGTCCTCGTTTCGGTGGAGCGGGGACGGGGAGGAGCAATGACAGAGAGGGGGCATGATGGAATAGTTACCCGGAGGAGTAGTGATGCATATGAATATGTTGATGGCGGTGGGTTTGAGGAGGTGCAGGAAAACGAGGGATGCGAGAGAGGATGATGATGACGATGATCCTGATGATGATGATGATGATGATGATGATGATGATGATGATGACCATGATGATGACCATGATGATGACCATGATGATGATAATGATGATACTGATGATGATGATGATGCTGATGGTGGTAATGATGATGACAATGGTGATGATGATGACGACAATGACGACGACGATGACGTTCTCGATGACGATCTCGATAGCGATGGCGATGATGATGCTGATGATGATGATGATGATGATGATGATGATTAATACGATGATGGTGAGTCTGATGATGATGATGGTGATGATGGTGATTGTGCTTAGGTTGACGATGGCGATGCTGAGGATGACGATGATCATGCTGATGATGATGGCGATGCTGATAATACTGACGATGCTGATGATGAGGGGGATATGATAACGATGTTGATGACGATGCTCATGGTGATGATGATGATGATGCTGATGCTGCTGATGATGATGATGATACTGATAATGATGATGCTGATGATGGTGATGACGGCGACGACGTGACACGAGGACGATGCTGCTGATGAGGATGATGATGACCGATGGCGATGACGACGACGATGATGATGATGATGACGATAGTGCTGATGATGATGAGGATGCTGCTGATGATGCTGATGATGATGATGATGGTGATGATGGTGGTGGTGATGATGTTGCTGACGAGGAGGAGGAGGAGAAGGAGGAGGAGGAGGAGTATGAGGTGGGAGAGGAGGAACACGGGGAGCATCATGATGAGTGGCTGCGAGGAGCATTCGGCGAGGATGAGGTGGCAGATGCGACCCGTTTGTGTGATGATCTCTTGCACAGAGCAGGCTCCCCATTGTCATGTTGGGGCCTGTTGGATTCGGCTGTGCTGCTCTTCGTTTCCGTCTCAGGACACCTCGCCCTTTGGCGTTTGTTGCAGCAAGAGCAGCCCTTCTGGTATATTCACGGTGGCCTTTTTGTTTCGCTTGCGTTGGGGAAGGACATGACGCCCTGTCGTCTGATGGGTAGCGATTGTAACAACTTGGGAGACTCGGGGCCCAGAGGTCTCCAGAGTTCTCTGCTGGCCTCTGGAGTCTCCTGATGAGGTTCCTTGATGCCCCAGGATGCCAGAAGCGCCCAAAGCTTCGATTTCCGATCCGCGAGGAGGATGGGGAGGAGGGATGGACGGGACAAGCGGTGCGGGGCACTTTTATCGCTACATTGAGCGTCGAGCGGCTTGAATAAGGAACGCTTATTTTTCAAAAGGGGCTCGATCGTTCCTTAGCCTTGCATGCGTTATGTATCGTTCTTTATGCATTATTTATAGCTTATCGCTCCGTATGTGTTACCCCTTGGAAAAAGGGGCTTCGTTCCTTATTTGCCGCTCCTTAGGGCAGGCCGATTGCTGTAGGAGGGGTGAACTGGACAAACGGTGCGGAGCAGTTTTTATCACTAAGTCATCTTGGGACAGGAGGATGGGATGCGAGGCAGGGGGGCGAGGCGACGGAGGGGGAGGAGGACCCAAATTGGCGGATGGCGACGAGGAAAGGGGTACATATGATGATGATAAGGAGGATGGTGGTGATGATGATGATGATGATGATGATGATGATGACGATGATGCTGATCCACGCATCCAAGAAGGTCTGGAGCTCCCCGCTCGATACAGCCTCCCGAAGCCATGGCCTTTCCCTCTGGCGCTGCGGACGCAAGGCCTGACCCGTGCCCAAGGCACACTCGCAGCCTCGCCTGAAGACTAGAGGCCACGCCATCCGCCTCGGCCGAGGCAAGCGGAAGGCAGGGCATCGAGCACTCACGGCAACTCAGCATGCTGGCTCGAGGTGCCACAGCGCCGCAAACCTCCCGCTGGCACCAGGCCACGGACAGGGAAGGTTTGCAATGCGGTGGCCTTCGGAGGCAACCATGGCGGTGTGCGAACCTACCACCACGGTCCAGCCTCCGACTGGCGGCACAGAGCAGAGCAAGCTGGGGCGCAAGAAGCGCTGGCCGTCGCGGCAAGCGCGCCAGCCACTACATTAAACGGAGCGCCCAGTGCGTGGAAACCAACACACCTGGTCCAGCTTCCGCTCGAGCGAGAGCCGTGCAACGGCACGAGCTAGCTCAAGAGCGGGACACGAGCGCCGAGCAAAGGCTGCCTAGCCTGCAGCATCGCCGCGTCCAAGGGACGTAACGTTGCCGCTGGCAGCAGAGCCCGATCCCGAGCGTGTGAAATCCTACGCTCCTGGTTCAGCCTCCACCCGAGAGCGGGGGCAGAGCAACAGAACAGACGGAGCCCGATCCCGTGCGTGGGCGAACCTACGCACCTGGTTCAGCTTCCGCAGGGCGAGCATGCAAGGCACAAGCGCGCCCGACTAAGCACCGTGCAAGCGGCTGCACCTCGCCACCAACATCGCAGCGGGTCCTGGCCAGATGCCAACCTGCTACGTTGCCGCTGGCAGCCGAGCCCGATCCCGTGCGTGTGGAAACCCCTACGCACTTGGTTCCGCCTCAACACTGGGACGGGCGGCGCTGCTGGAGAGCGGCGCGGAACGCGCCTCGCAGCAGCGACTGCCCCCGCAAGGCAACGCCCTCGCGCGACCTGAGGCACCAAAGTAGGGTATGGTTGCCTTGCAGAGGCAGCCCGAACAGCCGTGTGCTAAACACACGTCTGTTCAATTGATGGCAGACAGAGCGAGGCGGCAAGCGTGGCAAGAACGAGCCTAGCCACCATCGACGCGCCTGCGCATGCGCCGCAGCGGCTCAGGGTCACCGATGCCGCCCGTCCCAGCGGGCTGCAGGCCGCGCTTCAGCCTGCTGAGCACCGCCTTCTGCCTATCGTTATTGGGGGCCTTCGGGCACTCCGCTGCCAGGCCCGCCATCCTACGGCTCTGCGTCCAGTAGCCGCACTTCACGCAGAAGAGGTGGTTACCAGCCCGCCACAGGTCGTGGGAGCCGTGGGCGTCGAATCCCCACCACGGCGGGAGCTGCGGCGGCGGCAGCGGCGGGGGCCCGCCACCGGCCCCAGAAGGGCCCCCAGACGTCGGTGGGCTTCCCCGCTGGCCGCCGCCAGGCGCGCCGCTGCCGACTCGCCCTGCACGCGCCTCGTCTCCTTCCACCTGTGCTGGTGCCTCGCTGGCCTGACTGTGGGACAGCAGCGCCGCGCCCGCCGTGATGAGCGCCGCGGCTGCAGCTACCGATCCGCCACTGCTCTCGGCCCCAGAGGCCCAGGAGCCCGCGAGCGCGTCGCCCCTGCCCGCGCACTGCTGGCAGGCCCAGACCGTGTCGCCGTCGACGTCCAGCCACGTCCCGTGCCGCCCGCACGTGCGCTGCGGGCAGTCGGGGAAACTGCAGTGAGCTCGCCATCGCATCTTGCAGCCGCGCCAATCGCACCGAACTGCTTCCATGCCTGGGCCCTCGTGCCCGTCCGCTGCTGTGAGCTCGGCGTCGCCGTCCTGCATCGCCGCACCCAGCCAGCAGAAGACCTTCTTGACGAGACGATCCTGCCTGCGGCTCCTATCTCGCACGTCGTCGTCGCTGGGATGCATCTGCGCGCCTTGCACGGCGCGGGCATCGGCGCTGTGATTGCCCCGCCGCTGCCAGGCCGTGACGCGCTCCGCCTGCGCGTCCGCCAGCGTGGCGTGCGCTTTCACCTTGTGGATGGTGACGCTGCCGACCCCCACGTCGTCGAGGGCCGCCCAGAAACGCACCCGCAGCTCGCGGCAAGGCCGCTGCCACTGCAGGCACCACGCCTTGCCCGCCGCGAAGCCGTCCACGAGCAGCTTGCAGTCAGTGAAGATCCGCACAGGTGGTAAGCAGCTCTGGATGCCCTCGATGGCCGCCACCAGCTCCGCTGCCCTTGATTCTTGTGGATACGGCCAGGGGAGCGGGCCGAAGAGGCTGACTGCCTCGCCGTCGGGCCCCATGACGACGACCGCCCAGCCGCCGCGCGCCGAGACGAGGCTGGGGTCCAGAACGCTCCCGTCCGTGAAAAGGTCGCCCGAGAGCGGCTGCCCCGCCAAGTCGGCGCGGCCCTCCTTCCGCGCCTCCCTGGTGTCGGTGGGCGGTGGCAGGGCCCTTCGGTGCTCGGGTGCAAGGGCGCGGGACCAGAGCGGGTCCTCCTCTCCCCCGACGCTGGCCATACCGACGATGGTGCGAAAGGGGATGTCGCCATGGGGGCGCCGCTCGTCCGCCTCCTCGTTGGAGATCCACTCGGCGCGGCTAGCCTCGGTGGCTGGGCACTGCCACGCCAGGTGCCGCACTGTGCCGTGCGCAGGGCATCCCCTGGGACACCAAGGAGAGGAGGCCAATGGGCGCTCCTCAAAGAACCGCCGCGCCACGGGCCAGAGACATCCGACCAGCGCGTTCTTGGCAGAACTCATCTGCTTGGCCTTCTGCTTGCTCATGCGCTTGCGTGCCAGTGTGCGCCTGATACTGGACAGGGCGCCTCCATCGCGCAGATGCTCCAGCCCTGGGTGCTTGCTCGCTGCTCGCCACAGCGCCCTCTCGTGGCCATCGGCGATGTGCTTGGCGAGCGTGGAGGCCCCCAGGGTCCGCAGGTCCAGCGGCTGCTGCTTGTCGTTGGTGAGCAACCCTGGCAGTGTGGCGGTCCAGCCCAGGCGGTGGCAGGCTAACACGCACGCAGCAGCTGGCCCGCGTCCAGCCAACGCCTCAGGCCCGCCTCTGGCCAGCAACGTCCTAGCCCCTGCGAAAGCGCTGCCCAGGGCCCTCAGGTCCCTACTGTCCGAGTTGAACTGCACCGCTTTGGCCCATGCGACAATGGGCAGCGCCACGTGGTCGTGCAGCGGGTCGCAGTGCAGACGCTTGCTGAGGAGGAAACTGAGGCTGAGGCTCTTGCCTTGACCGCGCCCATGGT